CCCCAACAGCGAGACGATGACGGTCCGCACCGCGAGATGACGGAACGGCGGCTGTGTCGAGGGCGACGACCATAGCCTGCTCGGGCGCTAGGCCGCGGCTGCGCCCATCGCGGTAGCGTGTGAGTGATGAACAGGGCGTAGTCGATGCCCACGCGAGTCCGATCATCAAACGATGCGGCGCGAAGTCTGGAACTGTCATGAAGTTTGCTGAGCAGCACGATCCCGGCCGAGCCGATGCCGACGGTAACAAGGCGGCGCCGACGGTGATCCCCATGGCCACGACCGAGCCGAGCACCGCTACTCAGCACGAACACCGCGGCCGCGAGTCCGATGGCCTCCGACTCGGGCGGCTGGATCTCCGCGAACGCAATGCCGCCGACCTCGACGTCGAGGCCTCCAATGGACCGCAGCCCCAATTCGTCGATGAGTGTCTCCTATAGCGACACCCATCGCTTGCGCCTCGGTGCCGCTAGTCCCGGTGATCGAGGCTGACTTCGGCGTAGGCGATCAGCCCCGCGTCAGGCCCGTGTCGGCGATGCGAGGCTCCCCGTCGGGCCCATAGGGCGAGAGGACCGTGGCGCCCTCGAGGCGTCCACCTCGGCGAACAGCCCGCTCAGCGCGGACCGCACTGCGGGATCGTCGACGCCCTGCTCGGCACGGAAGACGATCTGGGCCGCTGTCCGGCGCCCCACACCTCCGAAGTGAGCCTCGAGAATATCGGCCCCGTCCTGGCTGTCGGTGCCAGCCAAGTTCCAACGTCGCGCTGAACGCCGGTCCGAGGCCGGAGGAGATGCCGAGGACCACCACGAGCGCGACGAGCCATGCGGAGATCGCCCGCCACGGATGTCGGAAGCACCATCTAGCAATTGACGCGTACAACGACGCTCCCCGCGGTCGTGGTACCGCTAGCAATCGACCCATTACCACCGCTGGACTCTTCTGCGTATACGTGGTCGGGCAGTCCGTAGGTGATGGCCAGATCGTCCAAGGCCGACACATCGAGCAAGGCGCTGAAGGCGGTGAAAGCTCGACTCTCGCGACAGCGCCGGGAGGGTACTTGTTCATAAAGCGGTGATAGCGCCTCTGCATGCGGAACCAGTGCAGCACTCCGAAGGTGCTGGCCCTTCGGATACATCAGATCGTTGGCAAGTGGCTCCCGATCATGGCTCGCGAGACGGTGAAGATGTACCGTGCCAGCTTGCGTCGGCTCTGCGCATCGGTCTCGCCGGCCACCAGCGGGGCTGAGTTGATGAGCGAATTCGCCATGACGATAGATTCCCATGAGGGCTCGGGCTCGCACATGTGTCCCACCTGAACACAACTCCAACGCATCCTCATAGTCGTGGAAGAGTATCGTCTCGGGAATGCCCATGAGATGACCTGCATAGCGCCAAACAGCCATGAAAGCCGTCCGCGCTCGTCGTCCATCGTATCGCACCCAGGCTCTCATATGCTGTAGCATCCTCGCGGAGAAGGCTGTGATCGCGAAGCCCAAGCTTGCGCGCGCTATCGTATTCCCCACGCAGCCGTGTCACTCATCCGAACCGTTGAAAAGGTGCCTGACCCATTGGCATGCACCAGTGGAGCGGACAGACAGCTTCCCCAGCACCCGCCCCACGCGTCTCCAAGGCCGCCCGGCAGCAGTATCTCATCAGATGACGGTGTTCTGTTCTGCAGTCGGCGCCTGACGCCGCATGGTCGCGGCAGCCTCCCGGTGATGAAGACGATTTGGAGATATATGGTCGAGAACCCTCCAACCAGCGACACCGCCCAGCATCGCGGCCAGACCCGCGTACGAGTTTCGGTGAACAGGCGAATCCCGGGCGCGAAGGTCGGAGGTGTCGAGCCAGTCGGAGGGGTCGCCAGCTCTTCGATCAAGGCTCCCACCACAACCCCCCACCCACCCCCCCATCTCTCCCCAACCCACCCCGCCGCAACCCCCACTCCCACCCCCACCCACCACCCATACCCCACTTGGTGGGGTGCCGCACTCCCAGGCGGGGCATCTCGCAGGCGCTGGACATCGGATCGTCAGAGCGGCGCTGATGAATCGATTCGCCTCCGCTCGCGTAGATGCGCGCTGGCGGGTAGGTGACCGTCCACGGTCGTCGGGTTGTCCCGGCTGGAATGTCGGGTGCACCAACAACGACGACTCGGTGGAGGTTTCTGTCATTATGCGCGCGCTGGATCCGGAGGTGATGGATGCGATGTGGGCGGCGGCGGAGCCGTTGTTGCCCTGGGCGGTGATGATCATCCGTTGGGCTGTCACAATCCTCGGATCCCGGACCGGTGTGTGCTTTGAGGGGATCGTGATCCGGCTGGTCACGGGATGCTCGTGGGTCACCGCGGAGCGCCTGATAGCGCACCGGGCGTCGGACACTACTTTGCGGGCGCGCCGCGACGAGTGGGCCGACGCGGGGGTGTTCGACGCGCTGGCCGATGAGGCTTTGCGCGCCTATGACCGCATCGTGGGCCTCGACTTGTCTGAGACCGCGGTGGACGGGTCGATCCACAAGGCGCCCTGCGGCGGCGACGGACCGGCAAAAGTCCCTGTTGACCGGGGCAAATTGGGCTGGAAGTGGTCGCTTCTCACAGACCGCAACGGCATCCCGGTGAGCTGGGCCGCCGACGGGGCGAACCGCAACGACATCGTGCTGTTCGAGCCGACCGTCGCCGCCGCCGGCGGGCTGCTTGCCGACGTGGAGACCCTGCATTTGGACCGCGGCTACGACTACGGCGCCGTCAAGGCGTGCGCGGCCAACCACGGCATCGACGACGTCGTGTGCGCAAAGAGACGCAAACGGGGCGCCGCAGCCGCCAAGACCACAGTCCCGCTGGGGTTGCGATGGGCCATAGAGCGCACCAACTCGTGGCTGTCGAACTTCGGGCAGCTACGCCGCAACACCGACCGCCGGCCACGACACCGACTCGCCCAACTCGCCCTGGCCATAGCGTGCTTCTCACCGCCACTCATCGACTGGCGAAACCGCTGGAGTCAATGACGCGCTACCCGCGCACGCTCTAAGAGAACTGAGCTGTTCATCAAGCTCGTCCGCCAATGGATCCCCGATATGCAGTGTGGGCGAGTAGTTAGTTCGTGGCCCTCTCAGGATCACACGGCTTGCGCTCTTGTGTATCCTATGATATAATCAGATGGTATACGATCGTAATCGACAGTCCCAGTACCCATCGACGGCTCAACTGTCTTGGCGGCGCCGGCGGATCAGTTGTGAGAGATGTCCGGTGCCATCAGCGACTGTCCTTCGCCGCGCTGCGGAAGGACGTACTCTAACTGTGACAACCTATGAGACAGTATGTCCGTACTGCGTCGGGCCGTGACCAGTCGGTGTGTGATCGCCTGAGGAGGATTGTGGGTGTCATCTACCCCCGACCGCCCCAATAGAGAAGACATGGCACAGACGAGACGGTCCCGAGCATCCCACGCGGCGCTCACCCGGCGCCCCCGGCCTCAGGACCGCAGACGAAGTCTCACGAAAATGCGGCCATTACGCGCACGATTCGTGGATCACTCCCTAACTCGCGCCACATCACAGCGCCAACGATATAGCAGGACCGAAACGAACGCAGCAGCTTGCGCCTCCTCGGCGTCAACGTTTAAAGACTCCAAGGGTAGCGTGCTTACCGGGTGGAGCTTGCCTTCGGCGTAGCGCGAGTAGCGGAACGGCTCCAGCAGCGCCTGAGGCTCTCCACGCAGCTCACCTGGCCACCAGCGCGCCGACTCCGATCATCTTGTAGCCATGGTTGGAGTCGGCGATGAAGTAGGCGTTTTCGCAGAACGTGTCGAACACGGGGAAGTTGTCGGGCGAGAAAGCTGCCGATCCCGCCTGACGGCTCGTCGCTGATGAGGTGAGACTTGCCCTCGAAGCGCTTGTGACAGTGAGCCAGCGCCGCCGTCCATGTTCGGTAGAAGTCGCCGCCCACTACGAAGTCGGGCGAGTCGGGCCCGTACGGGTCCACGGCCACCTCGGCAGACGGCTTGTCCACGACGTAGGGCATATAGCCGCCCTGGATGCCGCCGAAGTTGAAGTCCGGCTTGTAGTAGACGCCCCACGGCCCCTCAGTGACGAGCCCGTCGGCGTCGTACAGGGGGCGCATCGGTGTCGATGTGCACCACCGGCGGCATGTTGCCGTCGTTGTCAGTGAGGAAGCCGGGGTCGACTGTGAGCGTGCCTTCCTGCAGGCACATGTAGGTCCACGTCGGACGGCTGTGCAGCTGGCCGTCTGAGGCCAGCACATCAGTGGTCGTCGGCAGGTCCAGCATCGCCCAGATCTTCTGCACCCACGGCCCCACGGCCACCACCACGTGATCGCACGCCACGGATCCCTGATCGGTGAGCACCGAGGTAACCGCCCCGGAGCCGTCTTGGCCGAACCCCGTCACGGTCACACCGCCCACCACGCCGACGCCTTCGGCCTCGACCTTGCCGAGCAGTCCCTTGAGCGAGGCCATGTTGTTGGCATAGCCGCCCCGGTGCTCATGCAGGACGCTGGTGATGCCCTGCGCCTGCCAGTCATCGAAGATCCCGCGCATGTAGCTGGCCGAGGCCTCGGCACCTTCAACAAACGTGGATGAATAGCCAATGGCCTGCTGCTGGGCATGGATCGAGGCCACGTCGTCGCGCATCGCCTCGTGGCTGATCTGCATGTACCCCACGGGGTGATACGAGAACGCGTCAGGGTCGCTGTCCCACACGTCCACCGAGTGGGCCATGAGCTCTCGCATGGCCGGCTGGAAGTAGTTGTTGCGAATGACACCGCAGGCGATGCCCGAAGCGCCCGCGCCGACGCCCGTCTTGTCGATGACGACGATGTCGTCGCCCGACCCCCGTCCCGACGATCTCAGATCGCGGGCAAGGTTCCAAGCTGTCGACAGGCCGTGAATGCCTCCGCCGATGATGACAAAGCGGGCCTTGGTCGGCAGTGCCATAACCGCCGCCTCCTCGGTTCAGTTTCTATAAGTGGCTTCTGTGTGTGACGGCTCAGTGGCCACCGGGAGCTGACCAGCCCTCCAGCACCGGCTTGCGCCAGTCGGTGCCGACGATCCTGGATTCCTCGACCCACGGCCCCAGCTCTACCTGCGGGAACTTGCAATGGATGTCCTTGAGGGTGATGCCGTAGCTGTTGCCCTCGGTGAGGTGCTTCATGAGCACCTTGCGGGCGATCTCGTCCTCGCGGCCCGGCGGGATCTCGAAGTAGATCTTCAGGAAGGAGTTCGAGTAGCGGTCGAACACCGCCGGCACCCCGTCCTCTTCGAGAAGGGTGATGTCCTCGAGCCAGTTGATGTCGGTTCCTGGGGTCACCGCCAACAGATCTATGTCTTCGACCAGCGACATGTCTTCTTGGTAGGCGAACCGCTTCCCCGCCAGGACTTCGGCGTCGATGGCGACGGTGCGGGTCTCGCGTGAGCTCTCGCCTGTGTGCGCGGATGCTGTGTTCGCAGTCCCTGTGCTGGTTGTCTCGGGCATGTCACACTCCCTTGTCGATCACGTAGCGGTCGAAGAGGTCGCGTATCTCTTGCATGTTCCGCTCCTCGCTGACACCCGGGATGTAGTCGGTGCCCGCGAGCGGCACCTTGGCCATGGCGGCCCGCCTCGTAGGTGAGTGCGGCCAGGTCCTCGGGCTCCAGAGAATGGACATCGGTCTTGCCGCAAGCCCGGGCCAGCATCTGCACTTCCATGGTGAGGGTGAGGAGGAAGTTGTAGACCCGCAGGGCGGCCTCATCGACGTCCAAGCGCTTGCGCAGCTCGACGTCCTGGGTGGCCACGCCGACGGGACACCGACCGGTGTGGCAGTGGTAACACTCGCCCGCGGGCACGCCGATCGTGCCCATGTAGTCGGTAACGCCAGGGATCTCCTTGTTGCAGTTGAGCGCCATCAGCGCCGACGTCCCCAGCGCAATGGCATCTGCACCCAAGGCCAAGCACTTGGCCACGTCGCCGCCGTTGCGGATGCCGCCCGCCACAACCAGATCGATGTCGTCAGCGAGGCCCACATCCTCGAGCGCCCTGCGGGCCTCGGGGATGGCCGCCATCAGCGGGATGCCGGTCTCCTCAGTAGCCAGATGCGGTCCAGCACCGGTACCGCCCTCGGCACCATCGAGGTAGATGACGTCGGGGCCGCACTTGGCCGCCATGCGCACGTCGTCATATACCCGGGCAGATCCCAGCTTGAGCTGAATGGGGACCTGGTAGTCGGTGGCTTTCGCGAATCTCTTGGATCTTCAGCGACAGATCGTCGGGGCCGAGCCAGTCAGGGTGACGGGCCGGCGACCGCTGGTCGATGCCCGCCGGCAGCGACCGCATCTCAGCAACCTGCTCGGTGACCTTCTGGCCCATCAGGTGGCCGCCGAGACCGACCTTGCAACCCTGGCCGATGAAAAACTCCACCGCGTCGGCCAGCATCAAGTGGTGGGGGTTGAAGCCGTAACGGCTCTGGATGACTTGGTAGTACCACTTGGTGGACAGGTCGCGCTCCGGCGGGATCATTCCGCCCTCGCCCGAGCAAGTAGCGGTGCCAGCCATCGACGCGCCCTTGGCCAAGGCCATCTTGGCCTCCAGCGACAGCGCACCGAAGCTCATGCCGGTGATGTACACCGGGATCTCCAGTTCGAGCGGCTTGGCCGCGAAGCGAGAGCCGATGACCGTCGAGGTGTCGCACTTCTCGCGGTAGCCCTCGATCACGAATCGGGTGAGGGTTCCGGGCAGGAACACCAGCTCGTCCCAGTGGGGGATCTTCTTGAAGATCGAGAATCCCCGCATCCGATAGCGGCCGAGTTCGGCCTTCACATGGATGTCGTTGATGACCTCCGCCCTCGTGAAGATCGGCTCTGACCAGGACAGTCGTGTGCTCTGGTTGTACCTTCGGCCATGGTCGTTCCCTCAGTGGATCACGAGCTTGCGCTCGGAGGGCTCGAGCGCGTCGTAGTTGTGAGCTGCTTGCCGCAGGACGACTTCGGTGGAACTCTGGCGGGACTCGCCGTAGGAGCGTGAATCCGGAACTTGCGCTCGATCAGTTCGTGTCGGCGTCTGCCCCATTCGCCGGCACACATTCCACGCCCAGCGTTTTTGGTTTGTTTGTTGGGGGTTTGGGGGGTGGGGGTGGGGGGGGGTGGTGGGGGGGTGGTGGGGGGGGTTGTGGTTTGTTGTTTTGTGGTGGGTGGGTTGTGGGTGGGGTGTGTGTGTTTTTGGGGGGGGGGGGTGTGGTGGTGGGGGGTGTTGTGGGGGGTGGTGGGGGGTGTTTTGGGTTGTGGGGGGTGGTGGTTTGGGGTGTGTTGGTGGGTGGGGGGTTGGGGTGGTGGTGGGTGGTGTTGGGGTGTGGTGGGTGGGTGGGTGGGGTTTTGGGTGTGGTGGGTGGGGGGGGGGTTGGTGGGGGGTTTGGTGGGTGGTGGTTGGTGTGTGGTGTGGTGGTGTTGTGGTTGTTGGTTTGGGTGTGGGGGGGGGGGGTGGGGGTTGGGTGTTTTGGTTTGTGGGGGGGGGTTGTGGGGTGGGTGGTGGGGTGGGTTGTGGGGGTGTGGGGTGGGTTGGGGTGGTTTGTTGGGGTGTTGTGGGTGTGGGGTTGTGGGGGGTGGGTTGGGGTTGTGTTTGGGTGTGGGGGGGTGGTTGTGGGGGGGGGGGTGGGGTGGGGGGTGGGGGGGTGGGGGGGGTTTTTGTGGTTGGGGTGGGGTTTGTTTGTGGGGTTGGGTGTGGGGGGTGGGGGGTTGGGTGGTTTTTTGGGGTTGTTGGGGTGGGGGTGGGTTGGTTGGTGGTGGGGGTGGGGGGTGGGGGGTGGGTTTGTGTTTGGTTGGTTGGTGGGTGGGGTGTTGGTTTTGGTGGTTGTTTTTTGGTGGTGTGTGGGTTGGGGGGTGGGGGGTGTGGGTGTTTGTGTGGGGGTGGGGGGTGGGGTTGGGGTGGGTGTGGGTTTTGGGTGGTGGGGGGGTGGTTGGGGTTGTGGGGGGGGTTGGGGGGGGGGTTGTGTTGGGTGGGGGGGGGGGGTGTTGGGGGGGTGTGGGTGTGTGGGGGGTTGGGTGGTGGGGGGGGTGGGGTGGTTTGGGGGGGTGGGGGGTGGGGGTGGTGGGGTGTGGTGTGGGGGTGGTGGGGGTTGGTGGGGGTGTTGGTGGTGGGGGTGGGTTGGGGGGGGGGGTGGGGGGTTTTGGTGGGGGGGGGGGTGGTGGGGTTTTGTGTGGGGGTGTGGGGTGTGGGGGGGTGGTGGGGTGGGGGGTGTGGGGGGGGGGTGGTTTTGGGTGGGGTGTGGGTGGGGGGGGGGTTGGTGGGGGTGGGTGGTGTGTGTGGTGTTGGGTGGGTTGTGGGGGGTTGTTGTTGTTGGGTTGTTGGTGTTTTTTTGGGTTGGTTTTTTGTGTGGTTTGGTTTTTTGGGTTGGTTTTTTTTTTGGGGAGCGAGTGTGCCGGTGCCGGCCACGTAATGGCGCCGTTCGTAACATTGAGTGACCGTTCATGACGGCGTTGACGCAGATGATCGGCGGCCCGCTGCATCATTAAATCCGTGTTGATCCACGTGCCCAGCACGATGATCGTGCCGCCCTTCTGGTCGATGCCGGGTGCGCGCTCCGACGTCGCCCTCACGATCATGTCACGCCGCCGCGGATGGCCGGCCGTGAGCGAGCCCCGCGCCGCGCTCGATCGTGACCAACGCCCCGACATCATGTTCTCGGCCACCGACCAGCCCACCCGCCGTTGATGGTCACCTCCGTCCGTCGATGAGCCCGCAGCGACCACCGGGCTGCTCTAAGTGAATCCGGCACGTTTTGAAGTATCCCCACCGCAAGGAGTGCTTGGACGCCGGGTTTGACACGGTTTTTTTCACGTCGGAGATGCCGTCCGTTGAGATCAGCTTGCGCACGCCATTATGATCTGGCGATCGTCAGGTCTGTGGCGTCGAGCGGGCCCGGTGCCCGTCCACCTCGATCGTTGTCGGGCATCTCGGCATGGGGCTCGACCAGCCCCCGGGCGTCGTAGCTGAAGCCGCCTGCGCGAACCTAGCACCTGCCATACCAGCACCGTCGCGCTCGTAGGGGTCGCGCTCTCGACTCTGCGCTTGACCAGGCCCGGATGGGCCACCTCTCGGTGGCCACGACACCAGCGGCTCGGACTCGAACCGCACCAGCGGCCACTTGGCCCCATCTCGTCCTTGGCGATTCCCAACTCGTTTGCCGTTACGCACACGTAGGTGAACACGCCGTCGAGGTCGTCGAGGCCTGTGCTTCATGGCGTCTCCAGCGACAGGCCCCGGCCAGGTGCTCGGCCAGGTACACGGCGATGATCTCGTAGTCGCACTCGCTCTGGAAGGCGGTGTCCGTGCTGCTCCAGAGACGGCGCCATCTGGTGGTAGTTGGTGGCTGGCGTTGTGGACGCACGGCCACGTCGGCGAACGGGTAGGCCCAGTATGATTGCCTGGCCAGGTCGACCTCGGATTTCTCGGTGGCCATGCGCACGTTGGCCGATGCCAGTGCGTGCCCGGAACGAGCCCAGTCCGTACTGGGTCGCTCCCTGTGGCGGCGTCGCCGATGTTCTTTATGATCTTCCAGCGAGCGGCCCCCCAGCGACAGCACCTCTCAACCGGCACGTCCTCGAGTATCGGCCAGTGGACTGTGAGGCGCCGCTGTAGCTGTATGTTGCCGCGAAGTGTATCCGGTGTCGCTGTGACTGGTGGGCCGACCTCGCGCCGATCTTGGGCCAGGCTTCCCCCCACCTCGCCCGTTGCGCTCCATGCGCTCTTCCATGCCGACCAGTGCTCTTGAGTCGGCTCGGCCAGCACGAACCGGACCCCGAATGATGTCGTCGCCGGCCCGTACACCGGCGTAGCCGGTGGATCCGGCCCCCGGTGGCTTCATCGACGGAGTCCAGGCCGTGAGCTCGGCGTCCGATTATCTGCCGCCGCCCGTCCCGGTGTATCAGCCAGCTATGCCGCACATGTTGCTACCCCCTTGGCAGGTTTTGTCTCTTGCTCGCCCCTTGTGCGGGCCCTGAGGTGTCGGTTTGTGTTTTGGCCTCGCCTCGCCCGAGCGAGGCGCTTGGTCGTTCTGGTTCGGGCCGCCCGGGCCCATGCCGTCAGGGCAGGACGTCCAGGTACTCCTCCACGTCCCAATCCGTCACGGTGGCCAGGAACCGCTCCCACTCGTCGGTCTTGTAGTGGAAGAAGACCTTGCTCATCTCGCCGGGAAGGGACCGCATCACCACCTCGTCGCTGCGCAGGGCCTCGAGAGCGTCGCCGAGGGTTTAGAGGGATCTTCTTGACGTCCTTGCCCGCCTCCATGGCCTCGTAGATGTTGCGCTCCTCGGGCTGGCCCGGGTCGAGGCTGCGGTCGAGGCCGTCGTCCATGGCCTGCAGCAGTCCCGCAAACGACAGGTGCGGGTTGACCGCGCTGTCCACCGAGCGGTACTCGAAGCGGCCCGGGGCGCTCACCCGCAGGGCGGTGGTGCGGTTCTGGAAGCCCCAGTCGGCGAACACCGGGGCCCAGAAGCCCGTGTCCCACAGACGGCGATAGGAGTTGACCGTGGGAGAGGTGAGGCAGGTCAGGGCCTGTACGTGCTCCAGTATCCCGCCGATGGCCTTCAGGCCGACGGGCCCGGGCATCTGCGGGTTGTCGCCCTCGGGCATGAACTTGTTGTTGCCGTCGGCGTCCCACAGCGAGATGTTGTGGTGGCAGCCGTTGGCCGACACGCCCATGAACGGCTTGGGCATGAAGCACGGGAAGGCTCCCAGCTCGCGGCCCACCTGCTTGCATACCTGCCGGTAGGTGGTGAGCCGGTCGGCGGTGAGCTCGGCCCGGTCGAAGTTGAAGTTCAACTCGAGCTGGCCGGGGGCGTCCTCGTGGTCGCCCTGGATCATGTCGAGGCCCATGGCCTCGCAGTACTCGATCACCTTGTGGATGAGGGGCTGGAGCTCGGCGAACTGGTCGATGTGGTAGCAGTTGGGCTTGGTCATGCCCTCGACGGTGGGCTTGCCGTCGGCGTCGACTTTGAGCCACATCATCTCGGGCTCGCAGCCGGCCCGCAGGTGCAGCCCGTGCTTGGCCTCGAATTCAGCGTGAAGCCGCCGGAGGTTGCCGCGGCAGTCCGAGGTGAGGAAGGCGCCGCCGTCCACTTCCTCCTCGCGGCCCCTGAACAGCGTGCACCACACCCGGGCCGTCTCCGGTCCCAGGGCAGGGGCATGAACGTCTCCGGCTCGCCGATGCCGACCAGCTCGCGGGCCTCGGGGCCGTAGCCGATGTAGTTGCCGTGGCGGTCAGTGAAGAGGTTGGCGGTGGAGCCGTACACGAGCTGGAAGCCCTTGCGGGCGATCATGCCGAAGTGCTTGGCCGGGATCCCCTTGCCCATGATCCGCCCCGTCACCGAGACGAACTGGCAGTACAGGTACCTGATGTCGTCGGCCTCGATGCGGGCCTCCACCTCTGCGATCTGTCTCTCGCGTCCATGCGGCCTCGAGAAACCTCTCAGAGTCAGTGGCCAGTGTTCCCCTATCGGCTGGGTGTGTGTGGTGCGAGCAACGCAGTAGCGCTCGAGTGTGAGCCTCGCACCACGTGCCTCCGGTCGCATTTGACCATACCACGCTACGGTGCTCGATGTCTACATCAGATAGTGACTACTTCCCTACAGTAGGTTTAGATTTCGATGACGCTGCTGCTGTCAGCCGCCGCCGGTCCATAGACGTGAACTCCAATGGAACGCGTGCCACGCTCGGCCTGGCTGACGCTTGTGCGGTGTGTCGTGGCCGTGGTCATGGTTGCGGATGAGCTCACGATATCGCCCTGGCGCGCCTGAGCTACGCGTCGACGCTCTGTGTGGCGCACTCCTGCAGCCATGTCCGTGGGTGGTGTGAAGAACGCCTACTCGATCGTCGTAGCCGCTCTGCTGCTGGTGTCGGGCTGGCTGGCCGACCGCTACGGTCGGCGTCGGGTATTCGCTCGGCGCATGGTGTTCGCTGTGGGGTCGGTGCGTGCCAGGTGCCTCGACAGCATCGGCATGCTCATCGCGGCCCGGGCACTGCAGGCCAATTGGCGCGGCTCCATGCATACCCGCCGGGCTCGACTCTGTGCTGACGCTTCGCGAGCGCCACCAGACCGCCATCGGAACCTGGGGGGCAATGGGCGGGCTGGCCGCCGCTCTGGGACCGACACTGGGGGCCCTGCTCATTGAGGCCTTCGGCTGGCGCGCCGTGTTCTACGTCAACGTGCCTGTAGCGCTGGCGGCGCTGCTGGTAGGAGCCCACGTGCTCCCCGAGAGTCGGGGCGACCGTACCGGCGGCCGAGTCGACATCATCGGAGTGCCGTTGGCATCGCTGGGCGTGGGCATCATCATCCTCGGGATCGTGCAGGGCGAGGCCTGGGGCTGGGGATCGACTTCGACCGTGGGGGCCTTCGCGACCGGATCCGTCATGATCGTTGCGTTCGCGGTCCGCAGCAGGCGCCATCCGGCCCCGCTGTTCGATTTGGGTGTGTGATGCAGCATCCGCTCCGCTCGCAAAATGCTGGGCAGGGACAACTGAGTTCGCTCTTCTTCGCCGTGGGCTTCTTCGCCCTGCTGATACCGCTGCCGTCATTCATCCAGGACGTGTGGGGATGGTCGGCGCTCATCCAGACCGGTCTGGCCTACGCGGTGGGACGTTTGGGTTGTCGTCCTGGTGCTCCCCGGCCGGCGGCTCGCCGACCGGATCGCAATGCCCCCTCTCACCGCGGGGTCTCATGCGGCGCGGCGGCGGGCCTGCTATGGCTGCTGCTGACAACGACCACAGAACCGTCGCTGGCCAAGCTGCTGGTCGCCACTGTGCTGATAGGAGTTTCGGCAGGCACCGGGTTCTCGCAGCTCGTGGGAGCGGCACTGCGCGACGTGCCCTCGGAGCGTTTCGCCATGGCCACCGCCGGCCGCACCACGTTCTTCCAGCTCTCAGTGGCGTTCTCCATCGCCCTGGCGTTCGCCGTGATCGGGCAGCCGTCCAGCCGGTCGCCGAAAAGGTGGGCCGCCGACAAGGGACGTGTGGATCTTGTGCGCCAGCGGGTACGCCTGCAATCTCGTGCTGTTCGGCGTCGTGTACCCCGCGCCGCGTTGGAGCCCCAGCGCTGCCCAGCGCGCACCCTAGAGTCGCAGCCGTGAAGTTCGGATCTCTACGAGCACGCAGCTGCCCAGACGCGGCTGGCACGACGGCGTACGAGCAGCAGGCTCTTCACGAGGCGCTGGAGCAGGTGGAGATAGCAGGCTGCGCGACCGGCTCGGCTTCGACTACGCCTGGAGGTGGAGCACCACTTCTTGGAGGAGTACTCGCACTCGTCTGCGCCCGAGGTGTTCCTCGGCGGCGTGCAGCCAGCGCACCCAGCGGATCCGGCTCGGCCACGGCATCGTGCTGATGCCGCCCGGCTACAACCATCCGGCCCGCGTCGCCGAGCGCAATCGCCACCTCGACACCTGGTATCGGCGGCAGGGTGGATTTCGCTGCACGGGGAGTCGTCATCCATTTTGGAGCTCGGAGGCTTCGGGTCTCCGTCGACGACAAGCGCACGGCCTGGGCCGAGGCGTGGAGCAGTGATCTGCAACATGATGCCATGGACCCCATATCCGGGCTACGACTTGTGTAGGTGCGACTATTTCTGCGATGCCGTAGGTTCCGCAACGTGGTGCCCAAGCCGGTTGCAGAAGCCCCACCCCCGCTGTGGTGCCTGCTCGAGACCGGAGGACGATCAGGCTTGGTCGGCTCAGGCTGGAATGGGCGCGCTCACCTTACCCTTCGTCGATCCCAGCACGACGCGGCCTCCTGGGTGCAGACTACTACCGATCCTGGAGACCGAATGCGTGGCCATCGGCCACGCTGTCAACCCAACATCGCCATGGCCCACCGGCCTGTCGGTGCCACGACGCCCCGGATAGCCCGGCGCCGGGGCCTTGACGGCTTCCAGTTCTTCGGCTACGGGCTCGGCCACCACTACATCTTCGGCCAGCACAAGCCGGGCCGCACCGATATCTGGTCCGACTATCTGGCCGCCCGGCACACCATCGCCGACCGGGGCGAGCAGAGTGGCATCGGCACGCCCGAGCAGGTCCGCGATCACCTGCGGGGCTTCGCATCCGCCGGTGTCGACCAGGTCGTGTTCATCCAGCAGGCCGGCAACAACCGCCACGACCACATTTGCGAGACCCTCGAGCTCTTCGCGGCCGAAGTGATGGGCGAGTTCGCCGAGGGCGAGCCCGAGCGGGAGCAGGCCAAGCTGGAGCGGCTGGCACCGGCCTGGAGGCGGCGCGATGGCACGCATTTAGGTTCCGATGCGGGCTCTCGACGACGACGAGATCCCGGTATTCGAGGCACTGGGCCGCTCCATCGTGGCCGCCCTGCGCCGAGGAGGCCTCTCAGGTGGCCGACACCGTGAAGGAATGGGCCAAGACCGATATGCCCATCCACGTACCCGAGGACTTCGCGAAAGACTCGTTGTGACAGCCGCTAGGAGGCTGCTGCGGAATCGTCTGACAGTTCGCTCGCTTTGTGCGCCTGCACTACTGCGAGAGGTCGTCTTCTTGCAAAGTGCCCGCGCGGCCTCGCTGCGCCGTCGAACGCCCCGTTGGTCGAGTGGATGTGGTGGTGCCCGAGCGGAGAGCGGAGATGGCTCCCTGCGTGGTGGCATTGGTGACGCCCGATGAGGCTGCTATCATGCGTGGGGCTCAACGAGAGGGGGACCGGATGGTTCCCATAGGATGAGTCGGATCCGTGGCCGTCACGCGCGCCGCTGCTGTTGAACCATCGACACGACTACGAACTCGTCGGGGTGTGCAGCGCGGACCCCGACGCCATTGGCCGAGACATGGCCGAGATAGCCGGTGCGGCCTCCGACACGCCGATCCCCGTGTTCGGCGAGCTGTCCGAGCTCCTGGCCATGGGACCGGTGGCCGTGATCGCACGCGTCGAGCGCGTCATGATCAAAGAGTGGGACAGCACGGACTGGGGTCACCCAGACGGACGGCCGACGATGTGGTCGCCTGTGTGGAAGCGGGTGTCACCTTCGTGTCGGCGTGCGAGGAGCTCGCCCACCGCGAGCCAGGCCGGGAGGCCGACTGGGACCGCATCGACGAGGCTGCCAAACGGGGCGGGGCGTCGGTTCTGGGCACCGGGGTGAATCCCGGCTTCATCTTCGACTTCCTGGTCTGGCGGCTAGCGGCCTGTGCTGGGACATTACAAGCATCAGCGGGCGCAGGGTCGTCGACGTGTCCGGGTTCGGGCGAGACATCCACCGGCGGCTCGGGATCGGCTACACGCTGGACGAGTTCAATGCGGGCCACGCCGGCGGCTCCATCGCCGGCCACGTCGGGTTCCCGGAGTCCATACGCATGGTCGTCGAGGTCTCGGGCTGAGGCTCGACAGCCCGGTGACCCAGAGTTCGTCCCCTACGTCGCCACCGAGGGTGCGCCCACGCTGTATGGGGCGTGCCGGCCGGCTCGACGGAGGGCTTCCTGCACACGGCGAGGGGCCGCGTCAACGGAGGATGGTTTGGTGTTGTGGGGGGGTGGGGGGTGGGGGGGTGGTTGGTGTTGTGGGGTTTTTGTGTGGGGTTTGGGGTGGGTGTGTGGGGGGGGGGTTGGGTGGGTGTGTGGGGGGTGGGTTGGTGTTGTTGTGGGTGGGGGTTGTGTGGGGGTTGTGTTTGTTTTTTGTGGTTTTTTGTTTTTTTTTTGGTTTTTTTTTGGGTTTGTTTGGTGGTTTGTTTTGGGGTTGGTTTGGGGTGTGGGGTGGTTTGTGTTTTTTGTTTTGGGGGTTGTGGGGGGGTGGGTTGGTGGGGTTGGGGTGGGTGGTGTTGTGTGGTTGGGGTGGGTTGTGGTTGTGGTTGGGGTTGGGGGGTGGGTTTGGGGTGGTGTGGGTTGGGGTGTTGTTGGGGTGGGGGGTGTGGGTTGGGGGGGGGTGGGTGGTTGGGGGGTGTGTTGGGGGTGGGTGGGGTGGTGGGGTGTTTGTGGGGGGTGGGGGTGGTGGGTTGGGTGGGGTGGTGTTTGGGTTGGGTGGTGGGGGGGGTTGGGGGTGGTTGGGGGTGGGGTGTTGGTTGTTTGTTGGGGGGGGGGGGGTTTTTGTTGTTTGGTGGTGGGTGGGGGGGGGGTGTTTGGTTGTGGGTGGTGGTTGGGGGGTTTGGGGTTGGGTTTTTGTGTGGTGTTGGTGGGTGGGGGTGGTTGGTTGGGGTGTGGGGTGTTGGGTGGGTTGTGGGTGTGGGGGGTGTGGGGGTTGGGGTGTGGTGGGGGTGTTGTTGGGGTTGGTGGGGGGGGGTGGGGTGTGTTTGTTTGGTGGGGGGGGTGGTGGGTGGGTTGGGTGGGTTGGGGTGTGGGTGTGGGGGTGTGGGGTGGGTGGTGGGGGTGGGGTGGGTGGGTGGGGGTTGTTTTTGTGGTGGGGTGGGGGGGGTGTGTGGGGGGTGGTTGTGTTTTGGATTTTTCAATGACTCTCGACCTGCTCCTGCACCTGCGGCCCGAGGAAGCTGGACACGAGGTCGGCGACTCCATCGACATCGAAGGCGAGCATCCCATCCGCATCCGGTTCCGTCCCGGCAACGACGCCCTCTACGCGACGTCCGCGCATCTGGTCAACAGCATCCCGACCGTGATCGATGCCCCGCCCGGGATCTGGCCGGTCAGCCAGCTGCCAGCCGCCCGAGCCTGGCTGGGCGGGCTGAGCGCGGCCATCGCACGGGTGCCGCTTCGTGACTCCAAGCCAGGCCGCTTCGAATCGGCGTGGACATCGGCGGGACGTTCACCGATCTGGTCACCTTCGACAGCACCACCGGCGAACTGTCGATGTCGAAGTCGTTCACCACGCCGGCCGATCGCACTGACGGCGTCCTGGAAGTGCTGGTCGAGGGCGGGTGTTGCCCTCGGCACGTCAGCCAGTTCGTGCATGGCACCACCACGGCCACCAACGCGGTCGTCGAGCGCAAGGGGGGCCGGGTCGGCCTGATATCCACGGCGGTTTCCGGGACACGCTGGAGATCATGCGGATCAACCGGAGCGCCACTACGACCTGCAGTGGGCGAGCCCGGTGCCGCTGGTGCCCCGGCACCTGCGCTTCGAGGCGACCGAGCGAGTGGACTACCGGGGCCGGGTAGTGACGCCGCTCGACACCGAGGCCCTCGCGGCGACGGTCGCCGAGATGAGAGCGGCCGCGGTGGAATCGATCGCGGTGTGCTTCCTGTTCTCCTTCATGAACCCGGTCCACGAGCGTCAGGCCCGCGACGTCATCGGCCAGGTGTGGCCGGAGGTGCCGGTCTCCATCTCCAGCGAGATCCTCCCCGAGATCAGGGAGTACGAGCGCTCCAGCACCGTCGTGATCGACGCCTACGTCAAGCCGGTCATGGGCGCCTACTTCGAGAACCTCGAACAGCGGCTGGCCTCGGGGGGCATGGAGTGCGGCGTCACCGTGATCAGCTCCGGCGGCGGGATCGTGCCCGTGCCGAAGCGAAGGCCACCCCGGTGCGGACCCTGCAGTCGGGCCCGGCGGGCGGCGTGATCGGGGCCGCCCATCTGGGGGAGCAGAGCGGCTATCCGAATCTGCTGGCCATAGACGTGGGCGGCACGAGCTTCGAGGTGAGCCTGATCGAGGGCGGAGTCCCGTCGCGCACCACCGAGGGATTCATCGAATGGGGCATCCCCTTCAAGATCCCGCTGGTCGACGTCAAGTCGATCGGGGCCGGGGGCGGAAGCATCGCCCGGATCGATCCGGGCGGGCTGATACAGGTCGGACCCGACTCGGCCGGATCGGAGCCCGGCCCGGTCTGCTACCGCAAGGGAGGGTCGCTGCCCACCCTCACCGACGCCTACGTGACCATCGGCCTCATCGACCCCGCCTACTTCCTCGGCGGCCGGGTGCGGCTCGACGCCGGGGCGGCCCGGGAGGCGATCCGCGACCAGATTGCGGAGGTGGCGGGCATGACCGTGACGGAGGCTGCCCTCGGGATTGTCCGGGTGGCGGAGGCGTCCATGGTCGGTGCGATGCGCATCGTGTCCACCCAGCGGGGATACGACCCGCGGGACTACGCCATGATCGCTTACGGCGGGGCCGGACCGGTCTCCGCGGTCGAGCTGGCCCGAGAACTCGGCGTGGGCACCGTGCTGGTGCCGCGGTCCCGGGCGCGTTCTGCGCGTTCGGAGGACTGTGCGCCGACATCCGCTTCGATTTCGTCCGCAGCTATCTGCGCCGCATGAAGGAGCTCGACCTGGCCACGCTGACGACGCTGTCGGAGGAACTCGTCGCCGAGGGGGAAGCCGCGATGAACCGGATAGGGGTCACCGCCGCGCCGATCATGCAGTTCACCGCCGACGTCCGCTACAGCGGCCAGAACTTCGAGGTGAACGTGTCGTTCCCGTCCGGGGCGGTCACCGAAGCCACCATCGAGCGGGTCGTTGACAGCTTCCACGCCGAGCATCTTCGACTGTTCGGGCACCACAAGGAGGACGAGGCGCTGGAGTTCGTCAGCCTGCGCCTCGCCGTGATCGCGACCACCGAGAAGCCGGAGTTCACGCCGCCGAGGCCCCAGGGCAGCAGCGAAGCCAAGGGGCGGCGGCGGTTGTTCTCGTCCTCTGGCCAGATCGTCGAGGCCCCCGTCTTCGACCGGATCGCCCTGGACGTGGGCTGGGCCCGGCCCGGCGCACTGATCATCGAGGAGCCCGACTCCACCGTGGTGGTCCGGGGCACCAACGACAGCACCGCCATCGACGACCTCGGCAACATCGTGGTCAGCGTGGCTGAGAGCGGGTGAGCATGATCGACCACGTCACACTCCAGGTGATCCGCGAGGGGCTGGTGGCCCTGTGCCGCAGCATGGGGTACGCGCTGTCGCGCACCGCCTACTCGCCGATCTTCAGCGAGGGATTCGACTTCTCGTGCGCGCTGTTCGACGGGATCGGCGAGATGGTGGCCCAGGCAGAGTTCAACCCGGTCCATCTCGGGTCGATGCCGTACACCGTCGAATGGACCGTCAAGGAGATCGGCCTCGACAATCTCGACGAGGGCGACGTCATCCTGCACAACGACCCCTTCCGGGGCGGCACCCACCTGACCGACTTCACGATGATGGCGCCCGTCTTCTACGAAGGGCGGCTGGTGGCGATACCCGCGGTGCGGGGCCACCAGATCGACGTCGGTCGGCTCCGCTCCCGGCGGCTTCGGTGGCGACGCCACCGAGATCTTCCAGGAGGGGCTCATCGTGCCCCCGGTGAAGGTCTACCGCAGAGGCGAGCCGGTCAAGGACATCTGGGACCTGATACTGGCCAACATCCGGGTCCCCAAGATCGTCCACGGAGACTTCCGTGCCATGTTCGGGTCGCTCAAAGTGGCCGAACGGCGGGTGCAGGAGTACTGCCGCAAATACGGGCCCGACACCTACGCCGAGGCCACCGACGAGATCAAGAACTACAGCGAGCGCCGCATGCGAGCCATGATCTCGCGCCTCCCCGACGGCACCTACGAGGCCGCGGACATGCTCGACGACACCGGCACGACGCTCGATCCGGTAAGGGTGCAGTGCCGGCTCACCATCGACGGCGACACCGTAACCACCGACTTCAGCGGCTCGGACCCGCAGGTGCAGGGACCCATCAACGCCACCTACGGCGTAACCGCCTCCCAGGTGTACACCGTGCTGTTCCAGGTCTCGGACCCGGACATGCCGTCCAACCACGGAGCCTTCCGGCCGATCAAGATCGTGGCCCCGCCGGGGAGCGTGGTCAACGCCGAGTCCCCCGCGGCCGTGTTCGGGGGCAACGTCGAGACCTCCTCGAGGATCATGGACGTGCTGCTGGCCTGCTTCGCGCAGGCTGTGCCCGACCGGGTGATGGGAGCCTGCTTCGGCACCTGCCAGAACTTCACCGGGGGCAGCCAGCACCCCGAGCTGGACGAGTACTCGATCATCTACATCTATCACGAGGGCGGCTGGGGCGGCAGGGCCTCCGGCGATGGGCTGACCGCGCAGATCAACCCGGTCGGAAACGACATGAATCAGCCGGTCGAGATCTTCGAGAGCCGGTTCCCGTGGCTCTACGAGGAGTACTGCATCAACGAGAACAGCGGCGGGCCGGGCTACAACCGCGGCGGGCTCGGGATCCGCCAGCGCCTGCGCTCCCTCTCGGTGTCCAGCTCGATCAACCTGATCGCCGACCGGTTCCGCACCCGCCGCCGGGCACCAACGGGGGCAAATCGCCGCTGCCCTCTGCCGGCGGCCACTACAACGACTTCAGGGTCAAGCTTCCCGGCTCGGCGGAATTCGTGCATGCGACCGAGGCATTCGGAACGGTCTCACCGTCCAAGTTCGCCGGGAAGGTCATCCCCCGGGGCACGGTAGTGGAGAACACGACAACCGGTGGCGGCGGCTACGGCGACCCGCTCGACCGAGAGCCCGAGCGGGTCGCGACTGACGTCGTCGAGGGGTACGTCACGGCCGCGGCCGCCGAGTCCCAATACGGCGTCATCCTGCGAAGCGACGGCAGCGTCGATTCCGAAGCAACGCTGGCAACCCGTCGCAAGCTCAGACAGAAGGCGCAATGACCACCTCCGAGGAGGTGTCCACCGACGAAGACCCCTCGCACGACCCTTCCGAGACGCCCGCGACGAAGACCCCCTCGCACGACCCTTCCGAGACGCCGACGGCAGAGACGCGCCCGCTCTTGAGCTCTACGAGACCATGGTGCGCATCCGCGAACTCGAGACTCGCATCGAGTCGTTGCACTACGGGGGGAGGATGCACGGCTCGTTCCATTCCTCGATGGGACAGGAGGCGGCTGCCGCGGGGGTGATCGGTTGCCTCCGGCCGACGGATCTGGTCACGTCCACACACCGGGGCCACGGTCATGCGATCGCGAAGGGAATGAGCCCGACGACCATCGTCGCCGAGCTGCTGGGCCTGAGGCAGGGGTCCTCGGGCGGCAAGGGCGGCTCGATGCACCTGCACGACATCGCCTGCGGCTTCCTGGGTGAGAATGCGATTGTCGCCGGAGGCATGCCCTGGGCCGCGGGAGCGGCCTGGGCCTCGAGGCGGCTGGGCAAGGATCTCGTGGCGGTCAGCTTCGTCGGCGACGGCGGTGCGGCCCACGGCCTTTTCGCCGAGACCCTGCGCATGGCGAGAACGTTCGGAACGCCGCTGCTGGTGGCCTGCGAGAACAACCATCTGGCCCATTCGATGCCGGTGGAGCGCACCTTCGGCGAACCGGGCTCGATCGCGGCCTGGGCGGCCGCCTTCGGGATGCGGGCCGAGTACGTGGCCGGGGACGACGTGCTCGCGGTGCATCGGGTCGCCACCGAGATGATCGACGAGGTACGAGCCACGGGCAAGGCGGCGTTCGTCGAGATCGAGGTGTGGCGGGTGCGGGCCCACAGCCTCAACGATCCCGATTACCGGTACCTGCCCAAGGACCTGGGCCGGTCTCACCTGCAGACCCACGATCCCATCGCCAACGCCGAACGGAGCCTGGGACTGCCGGAGGCGGAGATCGCGGCGATCCGTGAACGGGTCTCTCAGGAAATCGCGGACGCGATCGACGCCGCCTTCGAGGGACAGACCGCATCGGAGGATGACGCGACCACCGGTGTCTATTCCGAGGCCTTCGAGTTGGAAGGCCGACTGCGTGGCTGGTGAGCTCAAATACGCCGAAGCGATCCGCAGAGCCCTGGCCGACGAGCTCGCGTCAGACCCCGACGTCGTGGTCATGGGACAGGAGATCGAGGCCCTCGGCGGGGTGTTCACCGCCACCCAGGGACTGGCTGAGAGCTTCACCGGCAGGGTCCTCGACACGCCCCTGGCCGAATCGGCGACGGTGGGTTGGGCCATCGGCGCGGCCATGGCCGGGCTGCGTCCGGTGGTGGAGATCATGTTCATGGACTTCATCACCACCGCGATGGACCAGATCGTCAACGGGGCGGCCAAGCTCCGGTACATGTCGGGAGGCCAGGTCGCACTCCCGATCGTCATCCGGACACCGTCGGACGGCGGCACCGGACACGGCCCCCAGCATTCGCAGCATCTCGAGACCTGGTTCGCACACGTGCCGGGACTGGTGGTGGGGATGCCATCGACGGTGTCGGACGCGTACTGGATGTTGCGGCACTCGATCCAGGACGACAATCCGGTGGTGTTTGTCGAGAGCAAGTACCTGTACTTCCGCGAGAGCGGCGAGATCGGGCCCGAGGGATCTGGAGTCGTACACCCCTACGGGGCCCGCATCGTCAGGAGCGGGGATTCCGTCACGATCGTCACGGCGGGACGGATGGTCGCGGAGTCGCTCGCCGCGGCCGAGTCGCTCGCCGCCGAGGGCATCGACTGCGAAGTCATGGACCTCCGGTTCATATGGCCCTACGACCGGGAGGCGCTGGCGGAGTCGGTGGCGCGAACCAACCGGCTGATCGTCGTGCACGAGGCCGTCCAAGACTTCGGCTGGGGCGGTGAGATCTGCGCCTGGGCCGCCTCGGAGTTGTTCTACTCCCTCGATGCGCCCATACGACGACTGGCCACGCCGCGGGCACCGATCCCGTTCGCAGCCCATCTGGAGTCGGCCCTCGTGCCCAACCGGGCGGTCATCGAATCAGCCGTCCGTGATCTCGCCCGGCACTGATGCACACGGTCAGGCCCTACCGCAAGACACGGCTTGCGTGGCTCAATCTGCGGGAACTATGCTCACATCGTGAGCCGGCCTACCAACGGTCGACCTTCGCTCGTCATCTCCTGCCCCCGCTTCACAACAGCGATGATGTAGCGACACAATCCATATCAGCTAAGCGCGACATGCGGCAGGGGTGAGGGGCAGCGTGCGGGAATCCGAAGCTCCCGATTCTGTGGTCGAGTTCGAAGATGTATCTCGCCTCTTCGGTGACACCGTGGCGCTGGATTCGGTCTCCTTCTCCGTACGCCAGGGAGAGTTCTTCTCCATAATCGGCCCGAGCGGATCGGGCAAGACCACCACCGTCCGCATGATCGCTGGTCTCGAAACGCCGACCGGCGGGACCGTCCGGCTCTTCGGCCGGGACGTCACCGCCGTCCCCCCTCACCGGCGGGGCACGCCCATGGTGTTTCAGAGCTACGCCCTGTTCCCGCACCTCAACATCCGCGACAACGTCGCCTACGGCCTTCGCATGCGAGGGGTCTCCAAGCCCGAGCGCCGCAACCGCGCCGACGACCTGCTGGCCCTCGTCGGCTTGGAGGGACTCGGCGGTCGCCGGCCCGAGCAGCTCAGCGGCGGGCAGCAGCAGCGCGTCGCGCTGGCCAGAGCCATTGCCACCGAGCCCAGGGTCGTTCTATTGGACGAGGCCCTCGGGGCGCTTGACGCTGCGCTGCGCATCGAGATGCAAGTGGAGCTCAAGCGGCTGCAGAAGGAGCTGGCGTGCAGCTTCATTCACGTGACTCACGATCAGAGCGAAGCCATCGCGATGGCCGACCGGATACTGGTTCTGCACCGAGGCCGCCTGGAGCAGATCGGGGCGCCGGCCGAAGTGTTCGCCCGACCCAAGACCCGCTTCGTGGCTGGCTTCGTGGGCCAGAACAACCTGATGGACGCGACCCCAACCGGGGTCACTGATGACGGCCTGCACAAGATCCGCACCGCGCTCGGCGAGTTCCTCGCCAAGGGATCCGACGGCCATTCGATCGTCTCAGGCGAGCCTGCGACCCTGATCGTGCGGGCCGACGCGTTGCGCCGGGTGACTCCTCCACAGACGCCCAACCACTTCAAGGGAACAATCGCCGGGGCACGGTACTCGGGAACCACAGTGACCTTCCTGGTCAAGGCTTCGGACGGAACGGAGTACCGCATGGAGGAACCCGAGTCGCTGAGTCATGACGAGTCTCACACCGGCGGCGATCAGCTTCGAATCGGCGACGAGGTGCTTGTCGGCTGGGACACCAATCACGCATATCTCATGCAACGAGCAACAACCCATTAGGAGACAAAATGAACCAGCAATCCACCCAGGAACCTCGTGGATTCACCCGGAGGCGATTCCTCGCGGGCACGGGGTATGCGGCCCTCGGAATCGGCGGGGTGCCGGCGCTGCTGGCCGCGTGTAGCGGCACCAGAGAGCCCGACCGGCAGCTCGAGCTGCGGACCATGGGCATCGGCACCACGGTGCTCGACTCGGTTCTGACCCAGTTCCAGGCGGAGACGGGCATCCCTGCCACCGGCACCCAGGTCGGCTTCGGCGAGATGGTCCCTCAGTGGATCCAGGGCGGCTACCAGAACCAGTGGGACGTCATGGAGGCCCAGGGAGCCCAGATTGCCCCGCTGGTAGCAGCCGGGACGCTGCAGCCCATCAAGGTGGCCGACATCCAGCACTGGGACGCCCTGCTCGAGGTGTTCCGCGTGTCGGGCGCGGCCGGGCAGGACGGTGACGGTCACCCGTTCACTCAGGTCTACACGCAGGAGGCCCGCGACTCGGGTGCCCTCGACGAGGTCTGGGTGGTTCCGACGGTCTGGAACGGCGATTCCATCGGATATCGCACGGACCTGATCGACGAGGAGCTCGATTCCTACGCCGCGCTGTGGGACCCCAAGTACAGCGGAAAGGTGGCCCTGTTCAACAGTTCGCTACGCGCTCCCATGGAGGTGCTGGCCACATTCGTCGGGACCGGCGAGTACCAGACCGAGGGAACCATCGGCAACCCCAGCAGGAACGACGTCGACTTCGCCATCGACTTTCTGATCGAGCGGAAGCGGGACGGGCAGTTCCGGCTCCTCTGGGACGACTTCGGGCACGCAATCGAGATCCTGGACACCGGAGAGGTGTCCTTGATGAATGCCTGGGAGCCGATCGTGCGAGAGGTGGCGGCCCGAGGGAAGCCGGCGGTGTACGGCACGATCAAGGAGGGCTACAACATGTGGTTCCACGGCGTCGTGCTGTCAGCCGATTCTCCCAACTACGACGCAGCCGTCGCCTACGCCAACTTCTGGCACGAGGGTTTCGCGCCGGCGGAGGTCGCCAACCAGGGCTACATGACGCCCACGCCGTCGGTGGCCAGGACCGCGCTGGAGGGCGCCGACTCGCCCGATGCCGGAGTCAACGCCTGGGACTACTGGTACAACGGCGGCGGCCGCGACCGGGGCTCCGTCGATGACATCGCGTCGAAGGCAGCCTGGTGGTGGCAGTTCCCGGATGAGTCGGAGTACCTGGAGTCGAGGTGGCAGGACTTCGTCGCCTCCTAGGCCTGGCCGCCGGCTCCCCTAGGCGAATCGAAGGAGACCACAGGCAACTGAAGCCCTCCACAGATACCACCACACACACCGGCCAACCAAGCCTGGTCAGGGGCCAGGCTTGGTTGGCCGCGCCCGCCCTGCTGTGGATCGCCATCGGTCTGGCTGTCCCCCTCGGCGCAATCGTGCTGTTCAGCTTCTGGACAGGCACATCGGTCGGGATGCGCTCGGATCTCACCACCGCGAACTACGCCAACATTCTGACAGGCGGAACGTTCTGGAACACCGTTCGCTGGACATTGCAAGTGCTGGCAATCGTGCTCGCCTGCTCTACTGTCATCGGAGTTCTGGTCGCATATTTTGCCGCCCGGGTTGTGACGATTGAATGGGTTCGCACCGCTCTGGTCTTTCTCCTCTTTGTCCCATTCATCGTCAGCTACGTGATCCGGATGATCACTTGGATCCCTCTCTTCGGTCGGGCCGGTCTTCTCAATACTGCACTTACAGAGGCGAAACATACTGGATGAGCCATCCGATCTATTCCTGTACACAGCGCCCGTCAATGATCGACGGCGCTCATCTTTCTCTATGTCGCCTTCATCATTGGTCCCTACCTTCTTCAAGCTTCGTCAGCTGGACGAGGATCTGCTGCGGGCAGCACAGAACCTGGGCGCATCACCCTTCAGGACATTCTGGAGCGTCGAGTTGCCGCTAGCCCGGCCCGGCATAGTCGTCGGTTGGATCTTCGTGTCAGTCATGATCCTCTCAGACTTCGCGACCGAGCGAATCATCGGCGGTGGCCTATCACCACTCCTGGCGGGAACCGTCTGGAGAAGAGCTGAACTGCTGCTCTGGCCGCAAGCGAGCGCTCAGGCCGTGGCCCTCGTCATGATCACGCTGGCCATCGCAGCTGGATTGCTGCGTTTCGCCCAACTCGAAAGAGACCTCTGAGTGCGCTCTGGAACTATTCGTCCCACGCCGCCGGTCCATTTCGGTCCATGGGCCCGGATCGGGCTGGCCATCCCGGTACTGATCGTGCTGTCTTTCATCTACGTTCCAATTCTGCTGATCACGCTGCTGTCTTTCCAAGGCCCGCAGGGTGGAGCCACCTTCCCGATGAGAGATCCCGGCACCCTCTGGTACCGATCTCTGGCCGACCTCTCCGTCATCACTGATCATCCTGACTATCTGGGACAGGCCGTCTTCGATTTCAAGGCGAGCATCGTCAATTCCCTGAAGCTCGCGGTAGCCACCGCTTGCATTTCGACTACCATGGCCATGGCCGCGGCCCAAGCCATGAGATCCAAATTCCGCGGCGCCCGCTTGGCGACCTACGCGATCCTGCTCGGAATCGTCACACCTGGACTGGCGGTGAGCCTGGGAATAGTTGCCATCTCCTCCGAACTAGGCATTACCGCCGGCCTGTTCACAACCGGGATAATCGCACACGTGGCCTGGACGATGCCCTTCTCTTTCCTCCTCTTCATGGTGCTGTTCAACCGCTTCGATCGACGGATCGAGGAAGCTGCATACACGTTGGGGGCCTCCAGACTCGGAACATTCTTCACTGTGACAGTACCGATCATGAAGCCTGCCGTGATAGGGTCATTCCTCTTTGCATTCATGCTGAGTTTCGACGAATACGCACATTCAATATTCATCATGGGAGCCGACCGAACCCTGCCTCTCATGCTGGTGTCGGCTGCCCAGCTAAGAATCACGCCCTCCATTTTCGCACTAGGCGTCCTGATAATCAGCATTTCTCTGATCCTGCTTCTGGTGTATGTTGCGAGCGTGCGCAGGACCTTCAGACGTCGGGAACTCAGAGGAGCCTAGGACGTGAGCAACTCTCAAGGCACTAGCAATTCTGACGGTCCGGGATTGTCAGTCCTGCTGACCTTCGACTTCGACGCACTGTGCATCTGGCTCACAATGATGCGGACTACAGCACCCGGGACCCTGTCCCGCGGCGAGTTCGGTGCTCGCGTGGGGGCCGACCGCGTGCTGCGACTGCTACGCGACTTCAATGTCAAGAGCACCTGGTTCGTGCCGGGCCATACGATCGACACCTTTCCCGAAGTGTGCTCCAGGATCGTTGAGGCCGGACATGAGGTCCAACACCATGGCTACGCCCACGAGCCCCTCGAAGGTCTCGATAGAGCCACTGAGACCCGGTACCTGGAGCAGGGCATGGATGCCATCGAGCGGCTCACCGGCCGGGCCCCCGTCGGCTATCGCTCTCCCTCCTGGAACCTCAACGCTCATTCGCCGCAGTTGCTGGTCGACTACGGGTTCCAATACGACAGCAGTCTCATGTCACATGACCTGCGGATGTACTGGTTGCGCGATGGCGACAGGGTGGACGAGAACCAAAGCTATTCGTTCGGTAGCCCCACCTCCGTCGTGGAAGTACCGGTCAGCTGGAGTCTGGACGATTTCCCGCCTTTTACCTTCGTGTGGGAGCCGTTGCGGCCCGGATACGGATCCACTGAGGTCATCAGCGGAGACTGGTTAGACCACATCGAGTATGCCTTGGAACATGAGCCCAACGGCGTGGTCAACATCACCATGCATCCACAGGTGACGGGCAGAGTTCACGTGTTACGGATGGTCGAACGAGTATTGCAGAAGATAGCCGATCGTCCGGGCCTTCACTTCAGAACTATGAGCGAAGCAGTCCGTCTCGCTAAGGAGAATCACCTTGTCGAAACGTTCTGCTAACGAATTGTCCGTAGACGGTGTCTCGAAGCATTTCGGCGGCGTCGTGGCGCTCAACAATGTCTCATTGGTGGCACGCAGTGGTGAGATCGTCGGTCTCATCGGACCGAACGGTGCTGGCAAGACTACATTGGTAAACGTGATTACCCGCGTCACCGATGCTGACACCGGCACAGTCACACTGAACGGTCAGGACCTATCCCCCCTAGGACCCGCTCATGTGGCCCGCCTCGGCGTTGCCCGTACCTTTCAGCACATTCGTCTCTTTGGAGCACTGACTGTCTACCAGAACGTGGAGGTGGCACTATCGGTAGCTCGCCGCCATCGGGGGTTCATGCCGTCCCTCGATGCAAACGACCTCCTGACCGACGTTGGACTACAAGATGTATCTGATCGTGAAGCTAACACTCTCTCCTATGGACACCAGCGACGGCTTGAAATCGCTCGGGCTCTTGCGCTATTTCCAGACTTCTTGCTCTTGGATGAGCCGGCCGCCGGTGCAAATGAAGCAGAATCTGAAGAACTCAACAATATGGTCAAACGGATCAACGAGGAGTCCGGCTGTGGGACCCTTGTCATCGATCATGACCTTCAATTTATCATGAATATCTGTGATCGTCTCTATGTGTTGGATGAGGGCGAGATCATCGCACACGGAACACCCGCTGAAGTTCAAAGAGATCAAAGAGTGGTGGAGGTAGTATATCGGAAAGGGAACCGCAAATTATAGTCTGTAAGGTACCGAAATCGGGCCTACACACATATGAAAGGAAGACAAGAATGTTACCAAGAACTACAAGGCGCTTAACGAGGTTAGGTTTATGCGTCTTGCTCATAGCGATGGTGTCTGCCGCGGCTGCATGCAGTGGCGATGACTCCGAGGCCGGACCGATCAAGATCGGCTATGCAGCCGCGGTCACCGGCGAGTTGGCTGCTTATGACAGCCCCTCGGGTGTGCAATGCGCCATCGATCGAGTCAACGATGCTGGCGGGGTGCTGGGAAGGCAGCTCGAACTAGTCGTCAAGGACATGGCTTCAGACCCGGTCCAAGCCGGTACCGTCGGACAGGAGCTCCTTGATGAAGGCGTAGCTCTCATCCTCGGTCCTCCCACTGACGACACGGCCCTGCCCATCGCACAAGTTGCGGCCGGGAGCAATGTCGCTGTCCTTGCGGTCACCGCAACGCAGCCAGCTCTGACCCAGGCCGCTGACAACGCCTTCATGACGGCATACGGCGACAATCAGTCTGGAGCGGTCGCGGCCGAGGTCGCCTACGAGTCCGGCCTGCGCAGCGCATGGTTGATGCTCACCCGCGACATCGGCAGCTACGGCATAGTCACTCCCAATGCCTTCGCGGACGCGTTCACGAGATTGGGCGGTGCAGTCGTCGGCGAGGGCAACTGGAGCTACGGCGTCAACGAGTTCGGTTCGCAGGTCAATGAGATAGTCGGGTCGTCTCCCGCACCCGATGTCGTGTTCTTCGCCGGTCCTGTGCCCGACAACGCGGCCTTCATAAGGCAGCTGCGGGCGGCCGGATCCGACGCAGTCGTCTACGGCACCGACGGCTTCGATGATCCAGCATTCCTCGAAGTCGGCCAAGCTGACATCGAGGGGACCACGTTCTCCACGCTGGGCTTTCCTGAGGCAGGGAGCGCGCTTCTCGAGTTCTTCGACGACTGTGAAGCAAGGGGACACGATGTGCGCAACGTCTTCACCGGCATGGGAGGCGATGCGGTGGCAGTCGTCGTCGCCGCCCTCGAGTCGGCTGGCAGCGCCGAACCGGCCGACGTCATGGAGGCTCTCCGCGGTCTGGACGAAGTCCAGGGCGTGGTTACGGACTCGATCACGTACAAGGGCGTCGGGGGAACGCCGTTGCGCAACATCGCAGTGGTCACGGTTCAGGACGGTGAATTCACTCTCGTCGAGTGGCGTCGACCTGCCTTCATTCCCGAACCACGGTCCTAATGATTCTGACGGTCGATGACCTGACAGTCGCGTACGGCAGCGTCGTCGCCGTCAGGAACCTCTCGTTCGGGGCCGAGGAGGGCAAGATCCTTTCCCTTCTCGGCCCCAACGGGGCAGGCAAGACCACCACCCTGATGGCCATCATGGGAATGATCCCGATCGCCTCTGGAGCGGTGCGTCTTCAATCTCGCTCCATTGCCGGCGCCCGAACAGAAGACACTGTTCGGGCCGGCATGACGCTCACGCCCGAGGGTCGGCAGATCTTCGCCAGCCTGACCGTCGCGGAGAACCTGATTCTCGGGGAGGCTGGCCTCTCGGGCAGAGACGGGGGCCGTTGGACGCGAAAGGAGGTCCTTAGAACATTTCCAATTCTGTCGGAACGCCTCAACCAGGATGCCGGAACTCTCTCTGGTGGCGAGCAGCAGCAACTAGCCATTGCTCGCTCACTGCTCAGCAACCCCAAAGTGCTGCTCTTGGACGAGCCGTCCCTTGGACTAGCACCTCAAGTCGTGGACTTGATCTTCTCCCTCATAGTGCAACTGTGCGAGCACGGCATTACCGTGGTTCTAGTTGAACAGAACGCTATGCGCTCACTTGAAATTGCCCACCATTCAGTGGTGCTCAGTGCCGGACGCAAAGTGTTCGATGGCTCAGCATCTGCACTACGGTCCTCCGATGATCTCATGAAGGCCTATCTCGCCATACAGCCCGCGGGCCGCTCACCGGAGACTCAAGGTGGTTGAGCTCACCCAGAACATCCTGACCGCTCTCAGCCTCGGCGCGCTGTACGCCCTGCTGGCCTTGGGCTTGGCCATGGTCTTCAGCGTCATGGGGCTGGTCAACTTTGCCCACGGCGAGTTGATAACAATCGCGGGCTTCACGATGTACGGACTTCAGGGTCTTGGATGGCCCCCTGAAGCCATGATGGGAGCGGGGATTCTCGCTGCGACAGTTGCCGCAGTCGGCATGGAGCGATTGGCCTTTCGGCCAGTGAGGAATGCTCGCGGCACGACGCTGCTACTCACTTCGTTCGGACTGTCGATTGTGATCCAGAATACTCTGCTCGCACTTACAGAGCCTCGGCCCAATGCTGTAAGGACAATCGCTTGGCTGAACTCGCAATTCAGAATCGGATCTATCACAGTCCAAAATCTCCAGGTCGTAACGACAGGAATCACCATTGTAGCGCTGGCTGTCCTTGTCATAATTCTCAAGCGCACTCGCCTAGGCATCGCCATGAGAGCCGCTTCTGAGAACTTCCAGGTGGTGAGGCTCATGGGAGTCAGTGCCGACAAGGTCATCCGGGGAACGTTCGCGATCTCAGGCGCGCTGGCCGGTCTTGCCGCCGTACTTATCATCGCTCGACGCGGAGCAATCGACCCCTACATGGGTCTGATCTTCGTGCTCAAGGCATTCGTGGCGTCGGTGCTTGGAGGATTCGGCCGCCTGCCCGGAGCGGTAGTAGGCGGCTTCGCGCTCGGAATATTGGAAGTCCTCTTTGAGATCGTCCTTCCAGACGCATTGGCCGGCTTCAGAGATGCGTTCGTATTCCTCCTAGTCGGTCTGATCCTTGTAGCCCGACCTCAAGGCATCTTTGGACGACGGCAGCGAGGGTTCGCGTGAGGCGCAGCGACAAGTTGACCCGTCTCTTCGTGGGAGTCATGCGCGGGACAGTAACCATATGGTGCATTCTCATCCTGATCGGCCTTCTCGTGGCGCTGTTCGGCAGTCCATCAGACAGACGAGTCGCCATAACGTTCTTCATCAATGTGGTATTGGTGCTGGGACTACAGATCTTCATGGGCAATAGCGGAGTCACGAACTTCGGCTTTATCTCATTCGCAGCCATCGGCGCTTATAGTTCGGCCATTCTCACCGTGCCGACCACCATCAAGTCCATCACGATTCCTGACGCGCCACTTGGACTCTCATCTGTTCAGATCGGATTCGGCTTGGGATTGCTTGCGGGAGTAGCCTTCACTGCCGTAGTCGCGACAGGCTTCGGTCTCGCGTTGACCCGGCAGGTAGGCATAGCTACCGAGATCGCAACGCTGGCAATGCTAGTGATCGTGCACGTCATCCTGATCAACTGGGTGGAGATGACCGGGGGAGCCCGAGCGTTCTATGGGATCCCTACGAACACCACCCTTCCTATTGCCATCGCGGCCGCCTGTCTCGTCGTATTGGTTGCGCGTCTCTTCCGCGACTCGGAGGCGGGACTCCAACTGCGTGCCAGTCGTGAAGATCCCGTTGCGGCGGTGGCAATAGGTATCCCAGTCCAACGGCTTCGGCTCATCGCATGGACCCTCAGCGGAGCGACCATCGGCTTCGGCGGCGCTCTCCTGGGCCATTTTCTGGGCGTGATCGATCCGGATGCATTCTACCTTCGCACGACTTTCCTGATCATGGCGATGCTGCTCCTCGGCGGATCTACCACGACATCAGGTCCCTATCATCGGTGCGATCCTCGTAACCTTCGCATGGGAGTTGATGCGCGAAATTGAGGAGGGGCCTGTGCTCCTAGGTATTGATTTCCCCCAGTTCTTCGGTCTGCCCGTCCTATCCCTGGGAGTTCTCATCATGGTGGTAATGAAATTTAGACCTGCCGGTCTGCTTGCCAATCGCGAAATCGACGAATGGACTAACAACTTGTCAGCAAGAATTCGCCTACGTCTCGAACATCGAGCCGAGCATGTGTAGCGATGGCATGCGGTGTTATCGATGTACCATCATCGCGAGGCCACTGATACGCCGTCCTTGCGCTGGTCGCTATCCTCGGTACTAGCCTGAAACGGAGTTGCCCCAATGGAACAGATCACATTCGCCAGTGACGGCCTGATGATTTCGGCAGACCTCTATCTGCCCGAACATGCTGACGGCAACAACATCCCGATCATTGTGCAAGGAGGCGGCTGGTGCTATGTGAAGGAGATCGTGCAGCCATCGTTCGCCAAGGAATTCAATGATCGGGGAATGGCAGCCCTAGTATTCGACTATCGCTATCTCGGAGAGTCCGAAGGCGAGCCACGGCAGAGAATCAATCCCTGGGACCAGATCGAGGACTACAAGAACGCCATCTCATACGCTCAGCAGATCGCAGGCATCGATCCTCAGCGAGTTGGTGTCTGGGGAATCTCCTACAGCGGTGGCCATGTCCTCCAGCTCGCGGCTACCGACCGCCGGATCAAGGCAGCCAGCTCGGTGGTACCGGTGATCAACGGATACGAGAATCTACGATTGGCCCACGGCACCATCTCCTTCCGGGAGCTGCTGAAAGCCATCGAGTCCGATCGCTCTGCCCAGTTCAGCGGAGAGAACCCCGGCTATCTCAATCACAATCCTCAAGAACCTCAGGGCCTGTCAACCTGGCCCTTTCCAACCAGCGCAGACATGTTTCGTGAACTCGTTCTGGAAGGACCCAACTACGTCGGAAGGGCAACGACACGCTCAACGGAATGGCTCCTTGAGTACAATGTCCGTCCCTACACCGACCGCATTGACCGCTGTGCAACTCTGATGCTGCTAGCCGAGGGCGACGATCATACTCACTGGGATCTTGCTCTCGATGCCTACCACGCCATTCCCTGCCGTGACAAGCGGCTGGAGATCATCCGCAAATCGTCACATCAAACCATCTACAAGGATCAGGATAGACGCAACGAAGCGGCCGCCTTGTGCGCCGATTGGTTTGCTCTCCATCTCTGATTCATCCTGACATCGCCACCACAAGGAGTCATGATCATGAGCCGTCCAGAGCGATTCGACATCTTGTTTGAACCGATCACGATCGGCCCGAAGACAATGCGCAACCGGTTCTATCAGACTCCACAATGCACCGGATTCGGCGACGTGTTCCCGGTGGCCAAGCCTACCATCGGGGGATCAAGGCCGAAGGAGGCTGGGCCGTCGTAAATACCGAGGCAACAACGATTGCGCCCGAGTTCGACTGGGCCGGACAGATGACGCCTTCCCGGATTTGGGACGATGACGATGTAGCCAATTGGACATGGATGACCGACAAAATCCATGAGCATGGCTCTCTTGCGGGCATTGAACTTCACGCGGCGGTGCGTTTCGACAAACATTGACAGCCGTATTCCTGCTCGTCATATTCATGGCAGGATCGAGGAAGCCGCGTACTTCGGTTCAGTGAGAGCGATGACCAAGAGGGATATCCGTGAGGTCCAGCAGCTCTACTTGGAAGCTGCCAAGAGGTCGAGAAGTGCGGGCTTCGACATAGTGAACATACATGGCGCCGAAATCGGCGCCGTTCCAGTGCAGTTCCTCATGAACGTGCACAACTCCCGCACCGACGAGTACGGCGGTTCGCTCTCCAATCGGGCCCGCTTCTGGATGGAGACGCTCGAGATTGTGAAGGAGGAGGTCGGCGACGAGTTGGCTGTGGCCGCTCGGTTCTGCGTCGATTCGCTCCATGGCACAGACGCAGGAATACGGGTTGCGGAAGAGGGCGTTGGCTTCATCGAGCTCGCCAACCATCTCGTTGACTTCTGGGACCTTCAAGTCGGCGGCGAGAACGTTGAGCTGTGGATCAAGGATGCTGGACCAGCTCGGTTCTACAAGGAGAACTTCCAAGCCGAATGGGTCCGCCAGGTTCGCCCTCACACCGACAAGCCGATCGTGGGCGTGGGTCGCTTCACCAGTCCAGACACCATGTTGGAGGCGGTCACAAGTGGCCAACTCGACATCATCGGGGCGGCCAGACCCTCCATCTCGGACCCATTCCTCCCCAAGAAGATCGAAGAGGGCCGATTCGAGGACATACGAGAATGCATCGGCTGCAACGCCTGCGTGTCGCGTGTCAATCTCCGATGGACCCTACTGTGCACGCAGAACGCCACGGCCGGCGAAGAGTACAAGCGCGGCTGGCATCCAGAGAACTACTCGCCAGCATCGAACCGCGAGGCCAGCGTGCTGATCGTCGGAGCCGGAAGCGCGGGCCTCGAATGTGCGCTGGTCCTAGGCAAGCGTGGCTTCAAGAATGTGCACGTCGTGGAGGCAGAGCCCGAGATCGGCGGCCACTTGCGCTGGGTTTCTACCATCCCCGGAATGTCAACCTGGCGGCGTGTGATCGACTGGCGACAAGGTCAGATCGACAAGCTCCCACAAGTTGCGGTGATCACCAACTCTCAGTTGAGCGCCTCTGACATCCTCGACTACGGCGCCGACATCGTCGTGATTGCCAACGGGTCCGTCTGGGACCGGTCCGGCCTGAACGGCTTCTCCCACGCAGCGGTGACGGGCTGGGAGTCGGCCCCGGTGTACACCCCTGAGGACATCCTGGCCGACGAGAGGTCCATCGACCACGAGAGAGTGGTGGTCTTCGACATCGAGGGCTACTTCATGGGCGTGAGCATCGCCGAGGTCCTCGCCCGCCGCGGCCACCGTGTCTCGCTGGTGACGCCCCACATGGAGCCGGGGCCCTATATGCGCATGACCGGCGAGAGTGTGCACATGAGGCCGCTCCTCGAAGAACTGGGAGTGGAGCTCCTGATGGAGCAAATGGTCACCGAAGCCGCCCCGGACGAAGTGATCATCGAGCACGGCTTCAACCACACCGTGCGAGCTATCGGAGCCGCGGCCACGGTCATGACGACCCAGCGGATTCCCAGCACAGCCCTCTGGGACAGCGTGGAGCAGGCCGTGGCGTCGGCTCCTGAGGAATCCCGCCCGCAACTGTTCCGCATCGGCGATTGCGTCTCGCCTCGCATGCTGGTGGCCGATGCCATCTTCGACGGTCACCGATTGGCACGCGAGATCGACAGCGAGGATCCCGCGGTCCCGCTCCCGTACATACGGGAACGCCGGGTGGCGCGGGATCGTCACGACATGGGCCACATCCTCGAGCCGGCGCCCCGCTGAGCCGAACAGGCAGCCCATGAAGCCCGCCCCGTTCATCTACCACCGGGCCGAAACCGCCGCGCACGCCGCGGAGGTGCTGGCCCAGTTCGGTGATGATGTCAGGATTCTCGCGGGCGGCCAGTCACTGCTGCCAATGATGAACCTGCGCATCGCGGCCCCGGGCCATCTTCTCGATATCTCCAAGACCGCCGATCTCATGACCATCGAGGTCGGCGTCGACAGCCTTGAAGTGGGGGCGGCGGCCACGTACAGGAGAGTGGCCGAGCATGGTGCCATCGAGCAGTTCCCGATCATTGCCACAGCCATCAGCCATGTTGGCCATGAACCGATCCGCAACCGGGGAACCATCGTGGGGAGCATCGCCCACAACGACCCTGCCGGCGAGCTTCCCGCCGTCGCGCTGGCTCTGGGCGCGGAGGTGCAACTGAGATCGTTGCGAGGCAGCCGATCCGTGTCGATCGACGATTTCCTGACCGAGGCCTACTGCACAACTATCGCCGACGACGAGCTCATCGAAGCGATCCGATTCCCCCGGCCTGCAGCCAGCACCGGTCACGGCTTCGCCGAGTACGCCCGGCGACGCGGCGACTACGCCTCCGCGGGCGTGGCGTGCCAGGTCCGCTACGGACCCCGACGGTTCAGTTGCCGGATGCCGGGTCGCGACCCTCGCCGGCGGCGGTGCGGTGCGACGCCACCGGGCCGCGGAGGAGCGCATCGCCTCCGAAGGGACCGCTGGCTTGGACGTCGGGCTCGCGGCGCAAGCCACCGCGGCCAGCGCCACCGATGAGCGCGATCGGTATCACCGCCGGCTGATCCAGCACCTCGCCGCCGACGCATTCGGCCAGGCCGCATCACCAGCACGAGGATCTCACGGGGAGCCGATTGGATGAGTGCAGCCGTCTCGCTGGAGGTGACCGTCAACGGCGCGACGATCGATACCCGAGTCGATGCCCGAACGACGCTGGCTGACTTCATCAGGGACGGCTGCGGGCTGGTCGGCACCAAGATCGGCTGCGAGCACGGCGTCTGTGGATCCTGCACCGTCTTGGTAGACGACCTGCCGGTGCGCAGCTGCCTGATGCTCGCCGCGTCGGCTCACGGCTCATCGGTCCGGACGGTCGAGAGCCTGGCCGGTGAAGAACTGAGCGACCTGCAATGCTCGTTCCGCGACCATCACGCCCTTCAGTGCGGCTTCTGCACGCCAGGGTTGCTAATGACCGCCCAGGCCCTGCTGGAGTCGTCCGAGGCTGAAGAGATCGACGTTCGCGAGGCGGTGTCGGCCCATGTCTGCCGATGCACCGGCTACGAGCCGATCATCGCCGCCATTGAAGCCGCGGTGGGGCTCCGACGGGAACCAGCGCCATGACGAGCCGCTCGACTGCGCTCGTCGGCGCCCGCTTGGCCCGGCTCGAGGATGAGAGACTCCTCCGGGGCCGTGGCCGCTTCGTTGCCGACCTCGAGCCGGCCAACACCGTCCACGCCGCCTTCGTCCGCAGCCCCGTCCCCCATGGGCGGATTCTCGACGTGGACCTAGACGGGATCCGCGACGACCCCAGACTGATGGCCGTCCTGAGCCACTCGGACCTGCCCCACGAATTGTCCAACGATTCCGGACCCAGGCAGCCTCTGCTGGCTGGCCGCGAGGTTGCCTACGCCGGCCAGCCGGTCGCAGTCGTCATGGCCAGTGACCGCTACGCAGCGGAGGACTTGGCCGAGCAGGTGTTTCTCGACATCGAGCCCCTCGAGGCCGTTACCGACCTCGAGGAGAGCCTCAGCGGCCCGGCGAAAGTTCACAGCGGCGAGTCCAGCAATGTCGTGCTGGTGAACGACTCCTGGCCCAGCGAGCTCGACCAGGCCATCGCCTCAGCCCACCTGGTGGTCGAGGCCGAGTACCGGACCGAGCGGCAGTCGGCCATGCCCATGGAGACCCGAGGCATCCTGGCCGTGCCCGACCCGACCAGCGGGGGACTCACCCTCTACACGGGCACGCAGATGCCTCACATCCTGCGGGACGCGCTCGCCTCGTTCCTGGAGTTGCCCCAAACCGCAGTGCGGATCATCGCCCCCGATGTCGGCGGGGCTTTCGGGGTGAAGCTGGCCGTGTATCCCGAGGATCTTGTGGTTGCGATCGCAGCCCGCCGCCTGCAGCGCCCGGTGAAGTGGATCTGCGACCGCTACGAGGCCTTCACCAGCGATTACCAGTGTCGCGGCTCTCATTACCGGGCTGTCGCCAGTTTCGAGAGCGACGGCACCTGGACCGGCTTGGGCGTCGAGCTCACCTGCCCGGCCGGGGCCTTCTTCGCAGTGCCGTGGTCGGGGGCCCTGGTAGAGACGTTCATCGGAACGACGTCGCTGCCCGGGCCATACCGCATAGGCCACTACGGGTACCGGTGCCGGGGAGTGCTCACCAACACCACCCCCACCTGCTCGTACCGGGCCACGGGAGGGCCGGCAGCCACATGGATAACCGAGTCGCTGATCGATCGGGCTGCCCGCCGTCTCGGTATCGACCGAGCGGAGTTGCGACGGCGCAACATGATCACCGCCACCGAGGTGCCGTTCGCAACCCACGGCGGCCTTGAGATCGACACCGGGACTCATCTCGAGGCTCTGGAGACCGCTCTCGATCACGTCGACTTCCGCAACTGGGAGAAACGACGGTCGGCGGCCGCGTCCGAAGGGCGCCACATCGGCCTGGGCGTCGCCAGCTACGTGGCGCCGACCGCAGCCGGCGTGATGGGGCCTGACCCGTCGGTCGCCATACCCTTCGAGTCGGCGACGGTGCGATTCGAGCCCTCCGGCGACGTGACCATCCTCGCCGGGGTGTCGAGCCAGGGTCAGGGCCTGGAAACGACCTTGGCCCAGGTCGCGGCCGACGAACTCGGCGTAGCCGTGAGTCGGATCAAGGTACGGGCCGGCGACACGCTGATGTGTCCCTACAGCGGCGGCACCCACGGCAGCCGGGCTGCGGTGCTGGGCGGAGCGGCCACCAAGTTGGCTGCGGCCGCGGTCGCGGGCCAAGATGCGGGCCATCGCCGCGCACCTGCTGGAGGCCGACCCCGGCGACATCGAGCTCGCCGACGGCCGGGCAACGGTCCGCGGCGTGCCTGCTGCGGCAATCACCCTCGACGAGATCGCGATGCGGGCCCACTTGCAGGCCCAATCCCTTCCCGCCGGCATGGAACCGGGCCTCGAGTCAACCAACCGGTACCTCAACCGCCGCTACTACACGGCGGCCAACGGCTGCCACGCCGCCGTCGTCGAACTGTTCGAGGCGACGGGAGCCTTCAAGGTCCTCGACTACGTGGTCGTCCAAGACGGCGGCTTGATCATCAATCCGTCGATCGTGGAGGGCCAGGTACGGGGCGGAGTCGCCCAGGGGGTGGGATCGGTCTTCCTGGAAGCTGTCGACTACGACCGCCAAGGGAGCCTGCTCACCTCCAGTCTCATCCACTACCTGCTGCCCAAGGAGTCCGACGTCGTCCCGCAGATGAAGATCGTGCATATCCAGTCGCCGTCGGAGCATCCAGGAGGGATGCGCGGGATCGGTGAGGCCGGGCTCCACGCCGCGGTGGCCGCGCTGGCCAACGCCGTCGAGGATGCGACAGGCCATGAGATCGACCGGGTGCCGGTCAGGCCCCAGCAGATCGCGGACCTCGTCTCAGCCGAGGGCAGGCATCACCTCGTCGGCGAACAGGCGGAGTGATCGGCTGGCGTCCTCGATCGGTACCCCCGGCAGCCGGCCCCAGAAGATGAACCGGTCGGGCGAGAACTCCTCCTGGATCGCTCTCAACCTACCGGTGACGTCATCGGGCGATCCGACGATGCAGAGCTCGTCCAACCGCTCGACATCGATTGGCTCGAAGGCGGGGGCGTCAGGGGCGTCAGGGCCGTCGCCCTCCCTCTCCCACGCGCCGTAACGCTCGTACATGTACGTCAACGCCCGATGGACCTGGGCTCGCCCCCGGCCAGGGTCGTCGCAGACGTAGACACAGCCATTCATCGTTATGTCGAAGGCCTCAAGGTCGAATCCGTTCTCTGACAGCGTCGCGCGATACTGGTTGTGGAGGTCCGTGCCTGTGCCGACGTCGGGCATGAAGTTGCAGCCGTGGCGTCCGGCACGATCCGCGGCTGCCGGGCTGGACCCGCCGATGTGAATCGGCAGTTCGCCGCCGAGCAGCGGCACGGGCTGAACTACGACGTCCCGCAAGTCGAAGACCCTGCCCGCGTACGAGAAGCTCTCGCCGGTCCAGGCCAGGCGCAGGATCTCGACGGTCTCATCGGTGCGGACACCTCGCTCGCGCCGGGGCACGCCCAGCACATCGAACTCGAGTGGTCGGTATCCGGGAGCGAGGCCGAGCTCGACACGGCCGCCAGAGAGAACATCCACAACGGCCACGTCCTCGGCCAGGCGGATCGGATGGTGGAGAGGAGCCAGGCACACCGCGGTGCCCAGCCGCAGCTTGCGGGTCCTGCCGGCGATCGCGGCCAACATCACGAACACCGACGGCATGTACCCGTCGTCGGTGACGTGGTGCTCCGACAACCAGACCGACTCGAAGCCAGCCGAGTCCGCCCACTCGATCTGGTCGAGCAGCTCCGCATACAGATCCGGCCACCGCTGCCGCTGAGGGTTCCGGAAGTCGTACCAGAGCCCGAACTTCACCGCTTCGCCTCCTCTTTGCCGCCGACGATCACGATGATCAGCCGATGTCGCGGAGCCAGGCCCGCAGCTCGGCGATGGTGGTGGTCTCGTGCAGGCCGACCATCAAGGCCAAGCGGGCCTTGGGGCCGTTGAGGTGCCCGGCCCGAAGCACGCCCAGGTCGTCCAGGCTCGCTCCACCGCCCGCACCGCCGTAGGGCGACTGCGGCAGCCCGTAGGGGCACCTCGACGTCACGATCACCGGGACGCCCGCCTCCAGGAGCCTCTGGATGCCCGGCGCCACCGGGCTGGGCACGTTGCCCGCCCCGGTTCCCTCCACCACCAGGCCGTCGACGCCCCGATCAAGGTGCCAGTCGAACACGTCGGTCTGCATCCCGGTGTAGGCCTTCACCAGCGGCACCTCGCCCCGGATGCCGTCGCCGCGGGGCGAGCCAGGCGAGTCGAGCACGAAGGCGGGCTCCTCCGCCTGCATCGAGCCGACGGGGCCGCCCCTGACCGACTCGAACGTCTCCACATGCACGGTGTTGAGCTTGGAGACCCAGGCCGCGCCGTGGATCCGGTCGTTCACGCTCAACAGCACCCCCCGTCCGCGGGCGACGGGGCTCGATGCGATTCGAACCGCGTTGAGGAGGTTCCGCGGGCCGTCCGCACCGTGCTCGGAACCGGCCCGCATGGCGCACGCGAACACGATCGGACCCCGAGCGGTTGCCTCGCCGGCCAGCATCTCGCACATGTACATGGTCTCTTCTACGGTGTCGGTGCCGTGGGTCACCACCACCCCGTCGGCGGCACCGCCCACAAGCAGCTCGCGGGCCCGCAGCGCGACCTCGGTCATGCGCTCGGGGCCCATGTCGAACCCCGACACCTGCTGAAGCGACTCCACGCTGATCGACGCGATGTCTTCGAGGCCGGGCACCGACGCGACCAGCTCCTCCGGTGTTACGCCCGGCACCATCCGCCCGCCGGGGCCGGGGCGGCAGGCGATGGTGCCCCCCGTGGCCAAGAGAGCGATGCGCGGGCGTCCCGAGGACGCAGACCCAGTCATCGGGCCAGCAGGTCGGGCGTGGGGTTGTCGATGCCAAGCAGCGCGGCCAACGCAGCCGTCACCTGATTGCCCACGGCAGGGTTCCGCTCCGGCGGCACGAAGCCGGCGGCGGTCAGGCGGTCCCCCAAGCGGATGAAGATGGTGCAGAAGCGCATGGCGCCGAACACCTCCCAATAGTGCGGGTCGAGCACAGCACGACCCGAGGCCTGCTCGTAGTGGGAGATCATCTCATCGGTTGTCGGATAGCCATCAAGCCGGTCGATGCCGAGATCGTCGAAGGACATGCGGTCGAACATCAACCACCATCCCACATCGGCCTCCGTCGGACTCAGCGCGCACACTTCCCAGTCCAGCACGGCCGCGGTCCGGTAGTCCGCCAGGATGATGTTGCCCAGCCGGGCGTCGCCCCACGTCAGCCCCACCCGCTCATCGGCGGGGTCGTTGGCCACCAGCCAGTCGAGCGCGGCACACAGCACAGGGATGCTCCCTGCCCGCAAGCTCCGAGCGGACATGGTTGCGATAGAGGTCGATCTGCAGCGCGGTCGTCGGGCGGCCGGCGCCGCTCGGGTCCAGCCAATCCAAGCCGGCGTTGCGCCAATCCAGGCTGTGGATGCCGGCGATGGTGTCGATGGCCGACAGCACCATGCGCCGGCGCTGGCCTCGGGCGTCGCCTCGTCCACCACGAAGCCCGACTCGGTGTAGCGGGGCACGTCGGCGGGGATCCGCCCGGCCACGAAGCCCATCACGAAGAAGGGGGCACCCAGAACCGCCGGGTCGGGCTCGTAGCCGAACAGCGGCGGTACCGGCGCCACGCCCGCCTCCGCCACCGCCTTCATGGCCCGGTACTGGAGCTCCACCGACACTGCGCAGTGCGGCGTCTGGGGCGGGAACATGCCCCCATCGGCGGGCTCGATGCGCACGACGAAGCGTTCCTGGCGATCGGAGCCGTTCTCGGTCCAGGCCGCATCGAGGATCACCGTCTCGTTGGAGAATCCGGTGCTCACCGGGACTTCGATGTCGGCCACGGTGAGGCCCGGCCTGGATGGAAAGGCCCGCCGCATCCACTGTTCGAGGGCGGCCTGGTAATGGCTCCGATCAGTGCGGAACTTCGGCGCGCTGGGCAGCTTGCTCCCAGACGGGTCGCCGTGCGCCTCCACAGCCGACTCCGGGGGACTGTCTGAACTCGACACGCCGCGTAGTGTGCCGCAGATGCCCGACACTTCGCCAAGCAGCCAGCCGGAACTCGTTCATGACGGCACCGATCCCGAGAGCCACGCCCGGCGGCTGCACGATCACGACCGGCCGGCCCAAGAGCTGGCATCGAGCTGACCGAGGCCACTCTGGGGCGCGCCACTGCTCGCATGACGGTTCGAGACGGCATGCTCAACAGCGCGGGGAAATGCCACGGAGGCGTGATCTTCACCCTGGCCGACACGGCCTTCCAGTGCGCCTGCAACAGCCACGGCCGTCTCACCGTGTCGTCGGGCGCCTCCATCCAGTACGTCCGGCCCGCGTCGGCAGGGGACGAACTGATCGCCGTGTGCGTGGAGCGCTACCGCAACCGTTCAGGCGGCGGCTACGACGTGACCGTCACACCGAGCGAGCGCGGAGGCCGACCGGGGCGCGCCGCATTTGGTGGCCCTCTTCAGAGGCCAAGCACACGAACTACGACCCGCGGCCGGCTAAGAGGCCGAGCGGGTAGGCCGCGAATGGTGGTCGCAGGACGACGTCGACAGCGAGGCCGTGGCCCGAGCGGCCCGTGAGCGCAGCGAACAAGAGCGGGAGATACAACGCTGCGCCGCGAGGCGGTGGCACCTATCCGCGCGGCCCCTAGTTGTCGGCCGCGGTTACCGGAGCCGGACCCTGACGGGACCGAGACCCCGGGACCTCGGCACCAGACCGAATCAGATCTGGGTCTGCTGGTCGAGGAACGACCGCTCGGCCAGGCCGTGCCACTCGGCGATGCCGGCTCTGAACTGGCGCCACGGCCCGAGGATCCGGGCGAAGTTCGCGTCCTCCGAGGCCTTCTGGTCGAGCACGTTCGGATGCAACATCCCCAAGCGCAATGCCCTCCGCTTGGTCGCAGACGCAGCCTCAACCGACATGGGTCGCGACACTAGTGGTTGGAATTGGCCTGTCGCTAGCGCGCGTCGCCGAGGGTCAGCGCATGCCTGCGGGCGGCCATAGGGTTTGGAGCGTGACCGGCGACGCCCGATGATCAGCGTGACAGACGTGCTTGATGCCCTGCGCGGCGTGGACGATCCCGAGTATCCCGGTGTCAGTGTGGTGGACATGGGCATGATCACCGCGGCCGAGGTCGTCGACGGGCGGGTCAAGGTGGAGCTGATCACCACTTTCAGCGGCTGTCCGGCCCTGGAATGTCATCTCGTCCGAGATCGCCAGGGCTGTCGCAGCGCTGGACGGCATCGCCGATGTGGAGGTGCGGCGCAGCGCCGAGGCCTGGGACACGTCGAGGCTGAGCGAGCACGCCCGGGCCGTCATGGCTCGCGACTTCACGGTTCGGTCGCCGTCAACCCGGCAGACCTGCCGAATGCCCCCGCTGCGGTGCGGCGGCGCTGGTGGAGCAGTCGCCGTTCGGCCCGGCCCGGTGCCGGGCCGTGCATCGCTGCGGCTCCTGCCAGGAGGTCGTCGAGGTTCTGCGAGCCTGAAGGGCTGGTTCCGGCGGGACGCTAGGCCGAGCGGCTAATCCCACAGTTGCGGCACTTGGCCGTCCAGCCCGCGGGAGTGACGGACGTGGCCAGCCAGGCTCCGCACCGACCGCAGTAGCGAGGCGGATCCAGTTCAGGCAGGCAGCCGGAGCAGTCGCGGCGCCCGCAGCCGCGGCAGTACCCCGCCCCTTGCGCTCAAACCGCGGCCGACAGGCTGCCTATGGGCATGCGCAGGTCTCGCGAGCATGTCCAGATCCTGTTGGGGCGAGCGGCCCAGCGTGGTGAGATAGTTGCCCACAATCAGCGCGTTGATTCCTGAGGTCATGCCCATGGCCTGCAGGTCGCGCAGGGTGATCTCCCGTCCGCCGGCGTAGCGCAGGATCACCGACGGCAATGCCAGCCGGAACAGCGCGATCCAGCGGATCGCCTCCAGCGCCCCGACGGGCTTGCGGATCTGCAGGGGCGTGCCCGGACGGGGGTTCAAGAAGTTGATGGGCACCTCGCAGGGCTCCACCGCTCGGATCTGCTCGATCAACTCCAGACGCTGCTCGATGCTCTCGCCCATGCCCAGCAGCACGCCGCAGCACAGCTCCATTCCGGCCTCGCGCACGTACTCGCAGGTGTCCACCCGCTCGTCGAAGCTGTGGGTGGTGACGACTTCGCCGAAGAAGGAGCGGCTCGTCTCCAGGTTGTGGTTGTAGCGGTGCACTCCGGCCGCAGCCAGCTCGAAGGCCTGCTCCCGGGTGAGGATGCCGGCGCTCACCGCCACATTCAGGCCGGTAGCGGCCGACACCAGCGCGGTCAGCTCGATGAGCCGGTCCAAGGTGCGGCGGTCCGGTCCCCGCACAGCCAGCACCATGCAGAACTCGCTTGCCCCCAGTGCTGCGGTCTCGCGGGCCGCGGTCAGCACTTCGGTGGTGTCGAGGAACGGGGTGGCCTTGACTTGCGTATCGAACGCGGCCGACTGGCTGCAGAAATGGCAGTCCTCGGGACAGCCCCCGGTCTTGGCCGACAGGATGCCCTCCACCTCCACCATGGGGCCCGCCCAGGCGAGGCGCACCTCGTGGGCCAGAGCAGCCAGGGACGGAACCGTCGCGTCGTCCACGGAGGCCAGTGCGGCCAACTCGTCGGGCGCAGTTGGCGGCGCTCGTCCAGCAGAGCCCTTGGACGCGCTGCGAATGGAGGCCTCGACCATGACCCGATCCTACGATTTCTCAGCGGGCTGGCGTCGTGTCGAGGTCCGTGCTGCCCAGGTACGCCGCTATCACGCGGGGATCCCGCTGTCACCTCGGCGGGGTTCCCTCCGCGATTCTCTGGCCGAAGTCGAGCACCATCACCCGGTCCGGCAATATCCATCACCAGAGCCCATGTCGTGCTCCACCATGAGCAGGCTGATGCCGAGCTCGCGGCGGATGTCGAGGATGAACCGGGCCATGTCCTCGGTCTCCTCGAGGTTCATCCCGGCAACGGGCTCATCGAGCATGAGCAGCTCGGGGTCCATGGCCAGAGCCCGGCCCAGCTCCACCCGCTTCTGGATGCCGTAGGGCAGCAGTGCCACCGGGTGCTTGCGCCAGCCCTCGATCTCGAGGAAGTCGATGATGTCCTCCACCCTGCGGCGGTGCTCGATCTCCTCGCGCTTGGCCTTGCCCAGCCACAACGCACCGGCAATGAAGCGAGCTGCTCATGCGAATGTGGCGGCCGGTCAGCAGGTTGTCGAGCACCGTCATCTGGGGGAACAGCTCGATGTTCTGGAAGGTGCGGGCCACGCCGAGGCGGGCCACCCGGTCGGGACGGGTGCCCATGATCGAGGCGCCCTTCCAGCGGATGTCGCCGGACTGGGGCTGGTACACCTGCGAGATCGAGTTGAAGATCGAGGTCTTGCCGGCGCCGTTGGGGCCGATGATGGCGAACAGCTCGCCGTCGCGCACCTCGAACGACACCGCGTCGATGGCGGTGACGCCGCCGAAGCGCAACGAGATGTCGTCCACCTGCAGCAGAGGCTGCGCGTCGGTCGTCTCGCCCGCACCGCATCGGTCGTCGTGGTCGGGACCACATCGGTCGTCTCGCCCCACGCATCGGTCGTCGTGGTCGAGTCGGTCATGACAGCCAGCGCTTGCGCCGCTTGTAGTGCTTCACGTCCCGGAACGACCGGCGCTCGCCCTCGGCGCGAAGGCCGAGGTAGAACTCTTGCACGTCCTCGTCGGCGAGCAGCTTCTTGGGTTCTCCGTCCATCACGATCTTGCCCGACTCCATGACGTAGCCGTAGTCGGCGATGGACAGGGCCATCATGGCGTTCTGCTCGATCAGCAGGACGCTCACGCCGTCGGCGTTGATGTCGACGATGATGTCGCGGATCTGCTCGATGAGCATCGGGGCAAGGCCCAACGAGGGCTCATCGAGGATGAGCAGTTTCGGGTCGGCCATCAGAGCGCGCCCTATGGCCAGCATCTGCTGCTCACCGCCCGACAGATACCCGGCCGTGTGGCGCCGGCGCGGCTGCAGGGGCGGGAACAGCTCCATTACCCGCGAGTAGGAGGCGGCATTGGCCTTGCGGTCGCGCACGGTGAAGGCACCGGTTTCGAGGTTCTCGTCAACGGTGAGCTCGGCGAAGACCCTCCGACCTTCCATCACTTGGGTGATGCCCGCCTCGACGATCTGCGACGGCTTGGCCCGAGAGATGTCGGTGCCGTTGAAGGTGACGGACCCCTTTCGTGATGTCGCCCTCGTGCACGTCGAGAAGCCCCGTGATGGCGCGCACCGTTGTCGTCTTGCCCGCTCCGTTGGCACCGAGCAGCGCCACAATGCCGCCTTCGGGCACCTCGATCGACAGCCCGCGCAGCACGAGGACCACCTCGTTGTAGACCACCTCTAGGTTTGCGACTTCGAGCATCTATTGAACTCTGCGATTGGGTGGGGGATGCGATCGACTGCCGGGATGCCGTGATTCGTGCAGGGGCCACACCATACACTCCGGTTCAGCTCGCAGAAGCGGGGGGACGATGGCGAAGATGAGCGGCGGCGAGGCCCTAGCGAAGGCACTAGCTACAGAAGGGGTCGAGATCGTCTTCGGGATCCCCGGCATCCAGATGTACGGCTCCGTGGCCGGCATCCGGGACGAGCCGGGTATTCGAATGGTCACCACTCGCCACGAACAGGCCACGACCTACATGGCCGACGGCTACGCCCGAGTGTCGGGAAAGCCGGGGGTCGCCCTCGTGGTTCCCGGCGTGGGCCTCTACAACGCCGCGGCCGGCCTCCAGGGGCGCGAGACGAGCCCGGCGGGCCGGATCACCGCCGGGCTCGCGCCTCGATCAACTACAGGATGCGGCTATGAAGCCTTGAAGCAGGGCTCGTACTGCCAGTTCATGGCAGTCTCTGAGGCATAGGGACCCCTGAGCAGGCGGAACCCGTTGTTGCCGCCCTCCTCGGACACCGTGACGCCCGGCGTGTACAGCGACAGGTCGACGTCGTACAGGTAGGTCTCGCGCACCACGTTGTTGTTGGGGTTGCCACGCCAGGTCTGGTTCGGGGCGAGGCCGTTGAGGTCGGCAGTGATCGAGTTGGCCGCAGCCAGCACGCCGGCTCGGGTGAGGTTGCCGTTGGTTATTGCCCTGTCGAGGATCTGCGTAGCGACGTAGCCCTCGATCCAGCTGATGATGTACACGTCGTCGAACGGGGCGTCGGGACGGTACTGGCGCATGGCGGCGATCATCTCCTGCATTCCCTCGGCCTCACCGACGTCCCACAGCACCGTGTAAGTGGAGTGGGTGTAGACCGCGTCGGCCAACTCCCTGAATCCCTCGATGCCCAGCAGGGCCGGATTCCAGCTCGGGCTGTTGCCCGACCATTGACCGGTGAAGCCGGCCTGGGCCGCGCCGCCCATGAGGGTGGCTGTGGTGGTGGGGTTGGTGGTCAGCCACACCCAGTCGGCTCCCGGAACTCGCGATCCCGGTGATCACCGGGGTCAAGTCGCCACCGGGAATCACCTGGGCCTGACCGTCATAGACGACTTGAGGCCCAAGGCTTCGGCCGCCACCTTCACGCCCTCGGCGCCGTCCTCGCCGTAGTCGCCGGGGAAGCTGGCGATGGCCACCTTGTTGCCGTAGGTCTCCGACATGTAGGTGGCGCCGTTCATGGCCTCGATGCAGTAGTTGGTCTGCACCTCGAACACGTTCTTGCCGATTCGGGATCGGCCCAGCCCGAGTACCACGACAGGGGGATGGCCGCGATGTTGTCCTCGATCAGCACTGCGCCGTCGAAGCGGTGTGGGGCGAGCCCGGTCGACGTGGAGAACATCACCACGCTCTCGTCGCCCGTGCCCGCCATGACCTCGTAGTTCTCAAGATGGGTGGGCACGTTGTAGCGTTGTCGAGGATGACCGGCTCGATCGTCCATCCCTGGATGCCGCCGTTGTCGTTGAGCCACTCCCAATACACCCTGGTGGCCGTCGGTGATCTTGGTGGTCAGCGGGGCGAAGATGCCCGACAGGTCGGTGTTGACGCCCACGCGGATCGTCTTCGTCTCGGGGTCCACGCCGAAGTCGTGAGCGATGACCGCCTCGGCCTCAGCCAACGCCGCCTGGGCCTGCTCCACCTCAGCCGCGGCCGCGGCAGCCGCAGCCTCAGCCTGGTCCGCCTCAGCCTGCAGCGGCGTCGGCCGCAGCCTGGGCAGTCTGCGCCGTCAGCCTGGGCGGCCTCTAGCGCCGCCTGCGCATCAGCCTGCTGCTCCGCGCTCGCTGCGGCCGCGGCAGCCTCGGCCTCGGCCAGTCTCGCCTCGGCCTCGTCCGCGGCAGCCTGCGCCGCGTCGCGGCAGCCTGCGCCGCGTCACCCAGCCTCCGCGGCATCAACCGCAGCCTGCGCCGCGGCTGCGGCGCCGTCGTCGGGCTGTGCCGTCGTCTCCGGCTCGTCGTCACCGCCGCAGGCCGAGGCCACTAGGGCCACGGCACAGATCACAGCGAAGATCCATCTCAATCGTTCACGGTGGGTTTCCTCCTCCAAGTTGGTTTATTTAGGGAGCACTGGGCAGTGCTCACATCTTGTCACACGATCGCCGCACAAGTCACTGGGGCAGTTCAAGTGACTGGGTCAGTAGCTGAACGGCCATCGCTTCCAGTAGTTGCGGATGCGTACCCAGATCCCGAACAGGCCCCAGCGGCTCGACGATCAGGAACACGACGATGAGCGCTCCGAACAGCACGATGTTCCAGTCGTACACGCTCAGGGTCCAGCCCGGGGTCTGGATGGCGGTGTTGATGATACCGAAGTCGCCGCCCTCGGTGAGAACGAGTTGCGACAGGGCGCCGGTCAGCCCGCCCTCGGCGTCCTCGAGCCAATCGGTGAACGCCTCCACGAACTTCGGCACCATCACCACGAAGAAGGTCCCGATGAGCGGGCCCGCCGTGGTGCCCGCCCCGCCGATCAGAAGAATGGCTATGAACTCCACCGACAGGAACAGCCCGAAGTCGGTGGCCAGGAGCCGCTGCGACAGCGCCGCGAACAGCGCTCCCGACATCCCGGCGAAGAACGACGACACCGCGAACGCCACCAGCTTGTAGCGGAACTCGGGCACTCCCATCACCTCGGCCGCGATGTCGCGGTCGCGGATGGCCTGCAGGGCGCGGCCCGTGCGGGTGCGGGTCAGGTTCTTGGCCACGACCGCGAATGCGATGGTCAGCACTAGCAGGAACAGGTACCGCTTCTGGCCGTCGCTGACATCGAACCACAGCCAGTGGCCGTCGTCGCCGACGTTGATGAGCGGCTTCTCCTCCTTCCACAGCCTCACATCGAGCTCCTGGAACTCGCGGCCCAGTGCGGGTGGGCCGGCGATCTTGCGTCCCCAGCTGGTGTTGCCGAAGTGGATTCCCAGGAACACGAGGCCCAGGTGACGATGGCCAGGTAGAGCCCGCGCAGCCTCACCGCCACCGGCGAGACGATCACGCCCACCAGAGCCGCCGTGAGGCCCGCTCCTGGCAGCCAGATCCAGATCGGAAGCGAATGACCCCAAGTGGTCTCGCCGCTCGTGCCCCCCAGGTACACCGCGGCGCAGGCGCCAACCCCATGAAGAAGGAGTGGCCCAGCGAGACCTGGCCGGCCAGCCCGCTCAGCAGGTTGAGGCCCAGACGCCGCGATGGCCAGCACCATCACCAGCGCCATCGGGCGGAGCCATTCGGCGTCGCCGAGGAACCTGATCACCGGTATGTGGCTGATCACGGGAAGATCGAACGGCATCAAGAAGAGCACTGCCATGAAGACCGCGAACACAGACCTGCTGGGTCCAGGTGGGCAGCATCCGGATCTCTTGGCGATAGGCGGTGTAGAGGTTGGGGCGACCGAACATTCCTCACGGCCTCCCGAAGTCGGCCAGCGGGGGAGCCGGGCGGCCCGACACGTCACACCCTCCTGATCTCGGGGGTGCCGAACAGGCCGTACGGACGAATCAGCAGACCGATGATCATCACGACGTAGGAACGATGAGCGGGTAGCCGGCACCGAGCCATGAGGCGTTGCCCGCCGCGTACTGCCCCGCGTAGATCTCGGCCACGCCCACGATGAGCCCTCCGAGGAGAGCGCCGCTCGCTGAGTCCAGTCCGCCCAGGATCACCGCGGGCAGGGCCCGGAAGGCGATGTTGGCCGTCTCCTGATCGACCGACAGCGTCTGAGCGACCGGCGGCTGGGTGGCGAATATGCCGCCGAGGGCGGCCAGCACCGCACCGGCGGCCCAGGCGGTGGCGAACACCCGGCCCACGCTGACGCCCTGGGCCATGGCCGCCTCCTGGTCGAAGGCGACGGCGCGCATGGCGATCCCGAGCCGGGACCGGTAAAAGAAGAACACGGCCATGAAGGCGACCGCTGCGGTCACCATGGCCGCGATGAAGCTCCAGTTGATCAGCCGGTCGCCGACTTTGAACCCGTTGGCCAGCCACGGGACTCCGAGCGGGCGGAATTCAACCTCGACCGCGTCGTTGTTGAACACCCGGAACATGATCTCCAGGCCAAGAGTGATCACCGCCACCGAGAACAGCGGCTCGCCGATCATGGGGCGAATGGCCAGCCGCTCCACGACCAAGCCGACCGCGGCCGCGAAGGCCAGGGCCACGATCACGTTCAGCCCCCAGAGCATCCACGCGGGGCCGCCCAGGCTGTTGATCGGGTTGCCGATACTGGTGAAGGGGATGTTGCCGTCGGTCGCGAGAAAGCTCAAGAAGAGCGCTCCGGTGGCGGCCAGGGCACCCTGCGCAAAGTTGACGGTCTGGGTGGCCTTGAAGATGAGCACAAAGCCGAGGGCGATCAGCGCGTAGGTCGATCCCAGCCCCATCGACCTCATGAACGTCTGGAAGAACAGGCCAGGATTGTTGGCCAACTGCACCGCTCCGAACACCAGAGCCGCGCCGATCAGCCCAGTCAGGAAGGCGACCGGTACGTTGTGGCGCAGATCGGTCGCCTTGAGCCGGAGGGCCGGGGCCATCAGTACATCGACTCCACGAGATCACCGAACATCTCCTCCATGGCGTTGCGCTTGATCTTCTGGGTGGCGGTGAGCTCACCGTCCTCGTGGTCGAGCTCCTTGGGAAGCATCCGGAACTTCTTGATCTGTTCCACACGGGCGAACTTCGTGTTGGTGGCGTCCACCACCTTGGAGACGAGCTCGATGACTTCTTCCTTCTCGGAGAGGTCGCGGTAGGTCGTGTACGGGATGCTCTGGCGCAGGGCCCAGTCGCCGACCGTCTCCAGCTCGATGCCGATCAGTGCGGTCACATACTTGCGGCCGTCGCCGATGACCATCGCCTCCTTCACATAGGGCGACGTCTTGAGGCTGTTCTCGATCTCGGACGGCGAGATGTTCTTGCCGCCGGAAGTGATGATGATGTGCTTGATGCGGTCGACGATCTTCACGTGCGTGCCGTCCACCCACACTCCCACGTCGCCGGTCATCAACCAGCCGTCGGTGGTGAAGGTCTCAGCTGTCTTGTCGGGCTTGTTCCAGTAGCCCTTGAACACCCCGGGGTGCTTGGTCTGGATCTCGCCGGTGGCCTCGTCTATGCGCAGCCCGATGTCGGCGTAGGGCTCGCCCACGTGCCCAGCTTCATGCGGCCCGCGAAATTGCAGGTGGCCACGGCCGCGTTCTCCGTCATGCCGTAGAGCTCGTACACCGGCACGCCGATGCCGACGAAGAACTCGAGCACCTCAGGCGCGATGCGGCCGCTCCCGACCCGGCGTGACGGCATCGTCGCAGGCCGACCCGCTCCTTCATGGCCCGGAACACGAGCGGCTGGGCCACCGCGTACAGCAACCGGCTCACCAGCGTGTGCGAGCCGCCGTTGGCGACCTTCTGGCGACCGATCAGCTTCGCCAGCGCCAAGTGAACTTGAGGAACACCCGCTTGAACCAGGTGGCGTCGCTGCTCTTGATCAAGACGGGGCGTGGAGCCGTTCCCAGATGCGCGGGCACCCCGAAGAACAGTGTCGGCTGCACCTCCCGCAGATTCTCCGTAACGGTCTCGATCGACTCGGCGAAGTTGAGAGACGGGGACCCGGCGCCAACGAGGGTCCAAGTGGAGAAGATCCGCTCGGCCACATGGCACAGCGGCAGGTAGGTGACGATGAGGTCCTTGGGGTTCGGGGCCGACGCCGTCAGGGAAGCGCTGGGTCTCGTTGACGATCTTGTCGATGCAGTAGGCCGCGTTGGCGTTGGTCAGCATCGCGCCCTTGGGCGGTCCGGTGGTGCCCGACGTGTACACGAGTGTCATCACGTCGGTGTCGGTGCGGCAGCCATCCGTTCGGCCACCGCGCCGGGATGGGCCTCCCGGTGGCGCCGGCCCATCTCCAGGAACGTGTCCCAGAACAGCAGTCGGGGGTCGTGGTAATCGCCGAAGCCTCGCGGCTCGGTGTAGATGATTCGACGAACGGACGCGGCCGTCTCCGTCGGGACTTCCAGCACCTTGTCGGCCTGCTCCTGATCCTCGGCGAAGAACACCACCGGGCTGCAGTCACCGATCAGGTACTCCACCTCGGCAGTGGGGTTGGTCGGGTAGAGCCCGACCGTGATGCCCCGCACGGCCACGGTGGCCAGATCGAGGATCACCCACTCGGGACGGTCCTCGGAGTGGATGGCCACACGATCGCCGACTTCGAGGCCGAGCGCCAGCAAGCCGTGGGCCGCGGTCTCGATCAAGTCCCAGGTCTCGGCCCAGGTGTACTCCTGCCAGATGCCCGAAGTCCTTCTCCCGCATAGCGACCTGCCGGGGGCTGCGCCGGCCCAGTCCCGGCCAGCGACGCGACGGTGGTGGCACCGGTCTCACCCGCGGGCACCAGAACTTGAGGCCCTGACCGGTCCGCGGCAATCGTCACGCGTCGACCTCCTTCACGCTGGTATTACTGGCTCCGCTCGGCGAACGCTACTTCATTCCCTGCGAGCTGTCGCTGCCGCGCCTCGTCAGCCGGATCGCCCAGTCCTTCGTGGGCCGCTACCTCGGCCCGACCCAACCACGAACCAGTGCACCTCGTCGGGGCCGTCGGCCAAACGCAGGGTCCGCTGGTTGGTGTACATCCGAGCCAGGGGCGTCCACTGCGAGACGCCGGTGGCGCCGTGCATCTGGATGGACTGGTCGATGATGCGGCACACCCGCTCGGGGACCAGCGCCTTCACCGCGCTCACCCAGACTCGGGCCTCGGCATTGCCGAGGGTGTCCATGGCCTTGGCCGCCCGCAGCACCATGAGGCGCATCGCCTCGATCTCCACCCGGGCCCGGGCGATGATCTCGAGGTTGCCGCCGAGCTGGGCCAGCGGGCGCCCGAAGGCCTCGCGGCTCATGCCCCGGCGCACCATGAGGTCCAAGGCCCTCTCCGCCGCACCGATGGAGCGCATGCAGTGGTGGATGCGGCCCGGGCCGAGGCGCAGCTGGGAGATCTCGAAGCCCCGGCCCTCGCCCAGCAGGATGTTCGACGCCGGCACCCGCACATCGTCGAGGCGGATGTGCATGTGGCCGTGGGGCGCGTCGTCCTCGCCGAACACGTGCATCGGTCCGACCACACGCACCCCGGGCGTGTCCATCGGCACCAGGATCTGGGACTGCCGGAGGTGCGGGGGCCCGTCGGGGCTGGTCTGCACCATGCAGATCATGATCTTGCAGCGCGGGTCGCCAGCCCCCGAGATGTAGAACTTCTCGCCGTTGATCAGCCATTCGTCGCCGTCGAGCACGGCCTGCGTGGCGATGTTCTTGGCGTCCGACGACGCCTGCGTCGGCTCCGTCATGGCGTAGCACGACCTGATCTCCCCGGCCAGGAGGGGCTCGAGCCACTGCTGCTTCTGCTCGGGCGTGCCCACGCGCTCCAGCACTTCCATGTTGCCGGTGTCCGGGCGCTGCAGTTGAGGCACTCCGAGGCGATGGGGTTCTTGCCGAGCTCGGCCGCGATGTAGGCGTAGTCGAGGTTGCTGAGGCCCTCGCCGCTGGCCGCGTCGGGCAGGAAGAAGTTCCACAGCCCGGCCGCTTTGGCTCGCGCCTTGAGGCGTCGAGCAACTCGAGCTGGCCGGGACCGTAACCCCAGCGCTCGGCCCGGCCCTCGCCAAGCCTGAAGAAGGTGGCAGTGACTGGCTCCACTTCAGCGGCCACGAACTCGACGACCCGGTCATACAGCGGACGGGCCTGAGACGACATCGCCAAGTCGAGCGAAGCGGGGTCCAGATTGCCGATTAGCGCTGACGGTGTCATGAGGGCGGCCTCGCAGTGGTTAGGACGACAGCAGTGATGCTATGGCCCAGACCGCAGCCACCAAGCCGACGACGATGTAGACACGCTGCGGCCTACCGGGGCCCGTTCCAGGTCGGTGGGGTCGCGTCTCTGGGGCGGAGGACGCAACAGCGCGGCGGCGTTGCCGGCAGCCATGGAGGCGCCGAGGGCGAGCACCAGCCAAGCGAGGATGTTCTGGCCGAGGAACACTCAGACGCCCCGCGAACACCGCTGCCTGTCCGCTCGGCCTCTAGATGGCGGCCCGGGCCGCGAAGTTGGCGAAGGTGGTGAACCGGGACAGGAAGGCCAGCGTGGTCGTGGCGGTCGGGCCGTTGCGGTTCTTGGCCACGATGACCTCGGCCGTGCCCGCGGTGTCTGCGTTGTCGGGGTTGTACACCTCATCACGATAGATGAACATCACCACGTCGGCGTCCTGCTCGATGGCCCCGGACTCCCGCAGGTCCGCCAGCATGGGCCGCTTCTGCTGGCGCATTTCGAGATTGCGGGAGAGCTGCGACAGCGCCACCACCGGAACCTCCAGCTCGCGGGCCAGAATCTTCAGGCCCCGCGAGATCTCCGCCACTTCGACTTGGCGATTGTCGGCGGCCTGCCGGCCTGTCATCAGCTGGAGGTAGTCCACGACGATCATGGCGATGTCGCCGACCTGGCTCTTGAGGCGGCGGGCCCGGGCTCTTATCTCCATCACTGTCACGTTCGGGTTGTCGTCGATCCACATGGGCGCGGTCGACAGCCGGCTGATCGCGCCGGTGATCCGGTTCCAGTCGTCGTCGCTCAGCCTGCCGTCGCGCATCTTGGTCGAGTCGATGCGGGCTTCGGCGCACAGCAGCCGCTGCGTCAGCTCGATGTGGCCCATCTCCAGCGAGAACACCAGCACGGGCCGCTGCACCTTTATCGCCGCGTGGGCGGCCATGCCCAGCGCGAACGACGTCTTGCCCATGGACGGTCGGCCGCCCACCACATACAGGGAGCTGGGCTGCAGGCCCGACAGCAGCTTGTCGAGGTCGGTGTAGCCGGTGGCGGTTCCGGTGATCGACCCCCCGTGCTCGTAGAGCTCCTCAAGGCGGTCCAGAGTCCCGTCGAGCAGCTCCGAGAGCTGGACCGTGTTGTCGCCCACCTGGCCCTGGGCCACCTGGTACATCAGGTTCTCGGCCCAGTCCACAGCCTTGGTCACATCGTCGGGACGGCCGTAGCCCAGCTCCGCGATCTCTCCGGCCACCTGTATGAGACGGCGCAGCGTGTAATGCTCCCGCACTATGCGGGCATAGGAGGCCGCGTTCGACGTGGCCGGCGTGTTCATCTGCAGCGACAGCAGGCCGTCCAGACCGCCGATGGCCTCCAGCGAGCCGCTGCTCTCAAGAGCCGCCGCCACCGTCACGGCATCGGCTGGCTCCCCGGCGCTGTAGAGACCGTGTACCGCCTCGAAGACCCGCGCGTGCGCGGGCCGATAGAAGTGCTCCGCCGACACGGTCTCCAACACGTCGGCGATGGCGTCGCGCGACAGCAGCATCGCGCCCAGCAGAGACTCCTCGGCCACCAGATTGTGGGGAGGGACGCGCACATCGCGCCTCTCCCCGCCGGTGGTGGCGCCCGCGCTCCGCCACTGCGCGGTGTCGGTAACGCTCATGAAGAGACGCTCATGAAGACCTGCCCTGCAGCCGTGCCCCTGTACGTCACGACGGTACCGAGGGGGTGCGACATCGGCCCTCGGCCAACAGTGGAGAGGCTTGTGGATCTCGTGCTACCGCGGGGGATGCAGCGGGGGATCTCGCGGCGCAGGTGTGGAAGCCTGTGGGCAGCCTCAGTCTTGGGCGGTCACCTCAAGGGTGACCGGCACCTCCACCTCCGCGTGCAGCCGGAACAGCACTGTGTGGGAGCCGATCTCCCTGATCGGCGCGTCGAGCACGACAGCCTCGCTGTCGACCACCGCTCCTACCTGCGACTCGACCGCGGCCACGATGTCGGGCGGGCCCCACCGAGCCGTAGAGGTGGCCCGACTCCGCCGCCCGCGCCGACACCGACAGGACCGCGGGCGCCAGCCGCACGGCGATCTCCTCCGCGTCGGCCCGGTCGGCCGCCCTGCGCAGGGCGGCGCTGCGTCGCATGACCCCGGCCTGCCGCTCGGCGCCGGGAGACGACTTCAGCGCCAGGCCCTTGGGAACCAGGTAGTTGCGGGCGTAGCCCGCGGCCACGTCGCAGACATCCCCCTTGCGGCCGAGCCCGTCCACGTCCGCGCGCAAGACGACCTTCACGCCTGCTCCTCTCCGCCGCCAACCGCATCGCCGGCCATCGCAGGAGCGACAACCTCCGCGGCCCCGTACATCGGGCTCTCCTCACCCGGAGCGCCCGCCGGAGGCGGGCCGGAGGGACGCGGCGCCGGACCGGCGGCACGGCCCCGGGGGTCGCGGTCCTTGTTCTGGCGCTGGGTCGTCACCCGGTTCGAGAAGGCACCAGGGCCATCTCCCGGGCCAGCTTGATGGCATCGGCGACGAGCTTCTGCTGCTGAGCGTTGTTGCCGGTGACGCGCCGAGCCCTGATCTTGGCCCGATCGGAGATGAACTTCCTCAGCAGCTTCTCGTTCTTCCAGTCGACGTAGGTGATGCCCTCAGTGCTGAGGAAGCTCACCTTCTTCTTTGTTCGGCGGCTGTTGTCGCGGGTCTTGCGCTGCACCTTGGTCTTGGCCACTGCTATCTCCTCGTCTCAGAATCGGCCGACCGGACCGGCCTCAGAACGGCTCCTCGTCGGCACCGGAGGTCGCTGGGCTGCGGCCCTCGGCCTGGGTGCCATGTCGAGACTCGAGTGCCTCAGGCCCGCCGGCCGGGCTCCGCCCGAGCTACGGGCCCCGCCGTCACCACGGTGGCCGCCACGGTCGCCCTCGCTCCGGTTGTCGCCGCCGCCCCGGTACTCGTTCCTGGTCACCTCGACCGTAGCCCACCGCAGGCTGGGAGCCACATCGTCGGCGAGAATCTCCACCTTCGAGCGACGGTCTCCATGGTCGGTCTCCCAGCTCCTCTGCTGGAGCGTGCCGTACACGACCACCCGGGCGCCCTTCTTCACCGACTCGGCGACGTTCTCGGCAAACTGGCCGAAGCAGGTCACGTCGAAGAACGACACTTCGTCCTCCTGGTCCTGGCGCCTGCGATTCCAAGCCACGCCGAACTGGGCGATGGCCGTTCCGGACTGCGCGAACCGCAGCTCGGGGTCGCGGGTGACATTTCCCACGACCGTCACAGTGTTGTTGAATCCCATGAGGAACCTCCGGATCTCAGCCGGCAGCAGCCGGCTTGGCCTCCGCGAGCAGACCGCGGCGCTCGGCCTCGGCGTCGGGAAGCCGGAACAGTTTGTGGCGGACGATTTCGTCCGCGAGCCGCAGTCGCCTTTCGGTGGCGGGAAGACCGGCCGTGGAAGTCACGATCTCCCATACCACATAGATGCCTTCGGTCTTGTGGTTGATCTTGTAGGCGAACTTGCGCCTGCCCCAGTTGTCGGTGGACATGATCGTCCCTCCCTCGTCGGTCACCAGACCGGCGACATGGGAAATCATCGAGTCCACGTCAGCGACGTCGGAGTCGATGATGATCATCAGCTCATAGGCCCGCAGCACGGGCGACCACCTCCCTTTGGACCCGGCACCGCCGGAGCCCCTCACCGGGGCAGGGTTCGTTTCCGAGGCCGAACCCGCTCAGAATCCGGCAAGGACCCGAACTGGCTCAGCTAATGGCGCGCAGGGTATCGGCGGTGTGGCCCATACCCACCACTCGCCGCGGCATCCCCAACAATCCACAGCACCATCCCCAGACGCATCCTGCACGTCGTGCCGTGTGTCGACGGCTGCCGCGGCGTCGATCCCCACAGGTTGCAAGGACCTGGAATCTTGCTAGAGACCTGAAATTCCCAAGGCGGCGAGTTCGACCTCAGACAGGTGATACGACTCCCGCGAAGACGGGAACGCTCCGGACCGCACATCGTCCGCGAAGCACCGGACGGCCTCGGTCGCCAAGGTGTCGAGATCCGCGTAGCGGCGCACGAACTTCGCAGCGAGACGGGTCTCCAACCCCAACAGATCGTGATAGACGAGGACTTGGCCGTCGCAATGGGGACCGGCGCCGATGCCGATCGTCGGGATCTCGACAGCTTCAGTGACCATCTCCGCCACTTGGACCGGGACGCCCTCGAGCACGATCGCATAGCAGCCCGCGTGGGACAGAGACTTGGCCGCCTGCACGAGCCGGCGAGCGGCCTCGGCATGCCGGCCCTGGACCTTGAATCCGCCCATGGCGTGCAGCGACTGGGGAGTGAGGCCTATGTGGCCCATGACGGGTATCTCGGCGTCGCGGATGCGCTCGATCATCGGCAGGCGCTTGCGGCCACCCTCCAGCTTCACGGACTGGGCGCCTGCTCTGATGAGCAGGGCCGCGTTCTGGACGGTCTCCTCGGCAGAGACGTGATAGCTCATCCATGGCAGATCGGCCACGATGTGGGCCTCGGGTTTGGTCCGGGCCACCGCCGCGGTGTGGTGGGCCATGTCGTTGACGGTCACCTGCAGGGTGTCGTCATAGCCCAGCACCACCATGGCGACAGAATCGCCCACCAGGATCAGATCGGCACCGGCCTCGCTCACCACCCGGGCGCTCGGCGCGTCGTAGGCCGTCACCATCACCAGAGGATCAGCGCCGTCACGTACCTTGCGGGCTCGTATGGCGGGCGCGGTGAGCTTTCCCATGGGTTGCTCCTTTCCGTCCAGCGCGCTGCGGCTGCCGGCGGGTGCGGTGAACGATACCTGCACCGCCGGTGATCGTCAATGGCGACGCCGGGCTACAGAGTTGTGCGGAGGCGTCAGGCCGAGCGCTTGCCGCCCAGAGTCAAGCGTCGCACCAGATGGTTCCAGCCGCAGCCGGTGCAGACCTCTACCACATAGCCGGTCGAGGGGCTGGCGCGGTGTTGCAGCCGCTGCATCTCAGCCCGTGTGGTGAGGCAGCGGCCGTGCTTGGGCAAGCGCGAGCCGAACACGTATGTCACCTCGACGAGGCCCTCCCTCGCACACACCGGGCACTTGCGTCGAGTCGGCTGCCCGCAGAACTCCGCGTTGCGGAACAGCTCCCGCTGGGCGTCACAGACCTCGTGGCGGCCGAGCTTGCCCGACCGCCATGCCCTCAGCGTGGCGGCCCGGGCGAGCCGGTAGTCAACCGTCGCGGGAGCCGAGGCGTCCGGCTCTACGGCGCTCTCGGAGGCAGCCAGGCGGAACGGGCTCGGCTTCACGGTCCGCAGAATAGTCCGTCGCCCGCCATCGTCGCAGGGCATCCAACGCCTCGGTCCGGCTGAGCGGACCCTCGTCGAAGGCCAGCTCGCGCAAGAACGCCAGGGCGCGGCCGATATCAGGGCCGGGCTTCAGGCCCAGCGCGGCCATCACGCCGCGGCCGTCGACAGGAGCGCGGGACCGTCAACGTCCTCGTGGCGGCGCAGTTCGCTCAGAGCCGCAGCAAAGCCGCTCAGCCGCTCGTCGGACTCACCGGCGGCGGCCGCCACGGCGCGGGCAAAGTCAAGAGCGGCATCTACCGGCACCGGGCATGCGTGCACGAGTCGGCGGATTTCGGCCGCGCCGGTGCCAGCCCCTTGGAGCAGCTCTCGGGCCTCCAGCAATCCGGCCGCGCCAGACGCGAGCGACGTCGAGCAGCGCAGACCCCTCAGCTCAGCGCCAGCCGCCTCCGCAGAGTCCTGCACGAACAGCGACGCCCAGCGGGCCGCCGGCTCGGCGGCCACTGCGGCCGTGACCCGGCCCAGCGCCGTGGGATCGCGGCCAGCAACCCGCGGCAGCACCCGCTCGATGAGCCCGGTGCGGAACAGGAAGCGGAAGCCCTCGGAGGGGTCGTCGAGCAGCAGCAACTTCTCGAACTCGTCGCGGGTCCTCTCGACCGAGACGATCTGCAGCCGCTCCCCCATGGCCCTGACCGCCTCGACCACCGCATCGTCGGGCACAAGCCCGTGGCTGGCGACGAAGCGCGCCGCCCGCAGCATGCGCAGCGGATCGTCTCCGAAGGAGACCGCGGGGTCGAGCGGGGTGCGCAGCACCCGGGCCTCCAGATCCCGACGCCCGCCGTGGGGATCGAGCAGGCTCCCGTCGGAGGTGTCGACGGCCATCGCGTTGACCGTGAAGTCGCGGCGCGCGAGGTCCTGCTCCACATCGTCGCCGAAAGCTACGACGGGCTGGCGCGAGTGCGGGTCGTAGCGCTCGGCGCGGTGGGTGGTTATCTCGAAGGCCTGCCCGTCCACCACGCAGCCGATCGTGCCGAACGCTTCTCCCTGGGTCCACAGCGACGTCGCCACACCACCGACGATCCGCCGCACCGCCGGGGGGCGAGCATCGGTGGTGCAGTCCAGATCGGCACCAGCGATGAACCGCCCGGCGACAGCCTCGCGCACGACGCCGCCCACGAGGTACAGCCGGTGCCCGGCCGCTGCGAAGAGCCGCGCCAGGCCGGAGGTGCTCGCCAAGGCCGCCGACAGTGCCTCGGGGGTCTCGGTACTCACCGACTTCCGTCGAGGGCCGCGAGTTGAGCAGCAGCCTTGACGACCTCCATCCCGGGACCGGCCCCGCTGGCCGGCTCGGGGTCGCAAGTCGAGGCCCAGCAGCGCTCCGGTCACCGCATAGGACGAGGCCCGCGTAGCGTCGAGGTCGTAGCCGCCCTCGAGCACGGCCACGTTCGTGGCGCCAGCGGCACCAGCCGGCGGACGAAGTCGCCGTAGTCCGAAGCCGAATAGCACAGGCCCGTGAGGGGGTCGGCCCGGTGCCCGTCGTAGCCGGCGGAGATCAACATCCAGTCAGGGGCGAAACGCTCCACTGCGGGCACGATCACCTCGTCGAGCGCAGCCCGCGCGGCGTCACCGGTGGCACCGGGTGGCAGCGGCACGTTGACGGTCAACCCCTCGCCCGCCCCGGTTCCTCGCTCGCTGAGCGCGCCGGTACCCGGATACAGCGGGTACTGGTGAATGGAGGCGTAGAGCACGTCGCCACGATCGAAGAACACGTCTTGGGTTCCGTTGCCGTGATGGGCAGTCGACGTCCACGATGGCCACCCGCTGTCCGGCAGCGGCCAGCGAGGCGGCGGCCACCGCGACGGAATTGAACAGGCAGAAGCCCATCGAGGTCTCGGGGGTGGCGTGGTGCCCCGGCGGCCGCACTATGCAATAGGCCTCGGACTCTCCGCCGGTGGAGTCTTTCGAAGTTGTGGCGGCCGTCAACTGCTCCGCGGCCGAGAGCACTGCGCCTGCCGCTAGTCGCGCCGCTTCGAAGCTGCCCGGCCCCATCGGGGTGTCGGCATCCAGGTGGCCCCCGCCGCGCTCGGCGATGGCGACGACGCGGTCGATCATGGACGCGGAGTGCACAAGCTCAAGCTCGTCCCGCTCGGCCCGCCTAGGCGAAACCCCCCCAGCGAGCAGCTCATTGTCGACGGCGGCCACTCCGGCCAGTGCGGCTCGCAGACGGTCGGGCCGCTCAGGATGCCGGTGTCCGGTGTCGTGGTCGAGGAAGCGTTCGTCGGTGATCACCAGCATGGCCGGATCGTAGTGCCAGCCTCAACGCTCGATCGGAGCCAGCGTCTAGCCTGGAATCCACCGGCGGGTTTGTGGGGTTGGCGGTTGGGGCCGGTTGGCTGCTGGGCTGGTGGGTGTGTGCGGGCCGGCGGGTGTTGGGGCGTGTGGGGTCAGAGAGTGTGTGGTGTCGGCGGGTTGGTGGCGGGTGGGGTGCGGCTGCGCTGCGCCGGGCGCTGGGGCGGCTCAGATGAGCAGGGGCAGGCTGCGGATCCGGTCGAGGGCGGTGGTGAAGGTGTTCTGCCAGGGCCAGTTGAGCGGCAGGCGCAGTCTGTGGCGGTGGCTGTGGTTGACGAGGCGGCCCGGCACGGTGAGGAGCCGGTTGCGGATGGTGGCCGCGACGGTGAGTTGGCGCGCGGGGTGGACTTTGCCGAGGCGGGCGGTCCAGCGGGCGAGGTTGTGCGCGAGGACGCAGCAGGCGAGCCAGGCGCCGTTGGCGAAGAACCGTCCCGAGGGGCAGCGGCTGAGCCCGGAGCCTTCTTTGAGGTCTCTGATGGCGAGCTCGACTGTGGCGTGGTTTCGGTGGTAGGCGTCGGCTGCTTTGGTGTCGAGGTCGTCTCTGTCGGTGACGAAGCTGTGGTAGCGCCAGTTGGGCCACAGCTCGCGTTGGGCGCCGAGCAGGCGGCTGCGCCGCGTGATGAGGCGCAGCTTGGCGGGTTTGGCGTCGTCGCCGCGCAGCTTGTCGCCGCGGCGGCCGGCTTCGATGGTGGTCTCAGCCACCTGGGCCTCGCCGCCGCGGGTGTACGCGATCGCCTTCCAAGCGTCGTCGCCGATGGCCTCGTTGGCTGCTTTGACCTTGGCGTTCTGTGGGATCGTGATCGAGTAGGACGCACCGCGGGCGCCGATGGCCGCGATCATGTCATAGGAGAAGAACCCCGAGTCGGCGCGCACCGTCACGCTCGCGTCCGCCGCCAGGCGCCGCACCCGCGCCAGGGTCTCGCGAGCGAAGTGCTCGTGGCCGCGCTGAGACGATCCCGACCGCATCCGGCTGTGCAGCACCTCGCCGGTGTCTGCTCGCACCGCCACCAGCGGGTGATAGCCCAACACCCCGCTGTGGGCATAGCAGGCGCCGTGCTTGGCCTTGCCGCACACCTCACACACCGTGGAGTCCAAATCCACAGTCATCTCCCCAGCGTCGGGCGCCGCGCCCACAGACCACGCCCGGCGAAGCGCCCAGCTCGGCCGCTTTGTCGAGCTGGCGCACATGCCCGAACGTGAACGACCGCAAGAACGTCCCCGCAGTCGACGGCGCCACCACCTCAAAGGGCAGCACCGCACCCGACGCGCCCGACCGCAGACGGTCGGTGTCATCGATGCAGCGGCCGCCCACCAGCATCGACGCCGCCACCGTCAACACCTTGCGGCCCGCGCCCGCGCCCGCCGAGCCGCCCAGACGCACCGTGTCGTCGATCAGAGCCTCCAAACCCAGTCTCGACATGACCGTGCCCGCCAGCAACAACCCCGCATCGGCCACCAAAGACCCATCGTCGAACACCGCCTCTATCGCGTCGATCCCACCTGCTACGCTGCTCACAGGAAGTGCCTCCTCTCGTGGCCAGAATGCTTGACTAACTCAACGGCATTCTCCCACGTCAGGAGGCCTTTCTGGTGGACGCGCCAACCCCAGAAGCCTCACCGCGCCGGTGGATTCAGGCTAAGGGGCCGCGCGGATAGGCGCTGACCTGGGAGTATTTCGGACTGGCTGATCCCGGCGCGGTCGGCGAACAGCCAGGTCAAGGGCTGTGTCGAGGCCGACAGCGCAGGGGTCAACGAGAACGTATCGTCACCTATCCGCGCACGTCCTAGAGGGCAACTGATCCGCGTCCGTCGCGGCACCGGTTGTGCTTGATGCTGCAGGCGTCTCGACTCGTGCCTGCCGCGTATCGTGGTCGTGCATGCCAGCACGACCTGTCGGCGGCGATCGGAGCCGGCATCCTCGCGGCCCCGGGGACAAACTGTCACCGCCTCGCGATGAACCGTTTCGTTTCCCGCTCTTGTTCGCTGCGCTCACGGGCCGCTCGCGTCACGGCCTCGCTCCGCGCCTCGCGCGATCCTCATGAACTGTGGCCTATCCGCTCGGCCTCTGGGCTCATGTCCCTGTCCTCGTTGAGCATCGGCTCGGCGCGATTCCGTGTTGGAGCCTGGCAGGGTGCCGCCGACGTGGCGTACCTGGCCCTGGCGTCCGCGGCCGCAACCCTGGCGCCATGGGTGCTGGCCGCACTGCGCGACCGGCTCCATGACCTGGGATACCGCGCCGTTATCACCGCAGCCGTAGCGCCGCGCGAGCGCGACGCCCTCATCCGAGACAGGTTTGACGTCCGCTACGAGCTTGCGACTCTCAGCCGCGATCTCGAAGCGGCGACGCCCAGGCTTGCGAACCCGCGCGGGCAAACCCGGCGCGGCACCCGGCGCGACCTCGAAGTTGTGCTGCAGGTCGACGCCGAAGCGTTCCTCCCGTTCTGGCGGCTCGACGCCGACGGCCTCCACGAGGCCCGCACGGCCACGCCGTTCAGCCGCTGGCGCGTCAACCGCGGCGTGGAGGTCCACGCCTACAGCATCACGGGGCGAGCAAGTTCTGCGGGCTATCTCCAGCGACTAGCGGTGGCAGCCCGCTGCCAGGGCCAGGGCCTGGGAACTCTGCTGGTGGTGGACGCTCTGGGGTGGCTGAGGCGCGGAGGAGCTCGCACCGCCCTGGTGAACACCCAGCCCGACAACGAGCGAGCGCTCGCCCTGTACCAGCGCTGCGGGTTCCGCATGGAGCCCGACCGGCTCGCAGTCCTGTATCGCGATCTCCGATGAGCCGGTCCTTCGGCTGGCGATCCGCTCTCGCGGTGATGGCCCTCTGCCTCACCACATCGTCCTGGGTCGCCAGCACCACACAGGCAGACGCCCAGACCGCCGGGGAGGAGCTGACCCCCCAGGCAATCGTGGATCTTGCTGGTGTGGATCTCATCGGCCAGACCGCGGCAACGCCCTCCTCGCCGGCCGTTATTCACCTTCGCGTCGCCGACGAGCTGTCAACGACAGACCTGAGAGCCCGCCTGTATGCGCCGGTGACGACTAGGGCCGAACTGCTGGCATCGTTGTATGGTCCGCCGCCGACGTCGATGATCTCGGAATGGATCGTCGAGGATGCCCGCATCGTCGCCAGTGACGATGAGGGTGTCGTCTTGTCGGTGCCCATTCAGCCACCTGATGAGGGCCTGGCAGGCCCGATGATCCTCAATGACGGACGACCTCTCCCACTGCACCTCGAAGTGGTCGACGCCGATGGCGCGGTGGTGGGAGCGCTGACCACCTTCCTGACTCCGGGTGCGGATGCCGCAGCCGGCAATGCCGAGCCAGCGCTGATGGTTGCGCCAGTTCTCGACCTGCGCCTACCACCATCTCACGTCGCCGACGGTGGCGCGGCCACCGATGGGGCCTCGCTCAGCCGGGTGCTCGGCCTCGCCGAGGTGCTCATCGAGCGGCCAGGAGTGCCCCTCTCCGTTGTAATGAGCCCCGAGACTCTCGATGCCCTTGCCCTCATCGGAGACGACACCAGCGTGGCAGTGCTGCACACCGCGCTGCGGGACAGGCAACTGCTTGCCACTACGTGGACGAGCCTCGACATCTATGAATTGACGAAGGCAGTCCGGGTCGACATGGTCCTCGACGGGCTGCGAAGAAGCGCCGAGGCGCTGCGCTGGGCCGGCCTTGAAGCCAGCACGGTCATGCATTTCGAATACCCGCTGACGGTTCGAGCGGTCAGGGCCATCACCGAGCCGGCGGCCGGAGTGAGCGCCTTCGTCACCGACGCTCTGCCCGTGGACAGCGGACCCTTCCCGCCAGTGACATTGCTGACCGACTCATCCGTCGGCAGTCACCCGTTGGTCCAAGCCGACCCGGTTCTCGCCGCAATGCTCCAGTTCCCCGACTCGGAACTCGGTATGCAGTGGGCGCGCGCTGAACTTCTCCGCATCGCCGCCGCGGGCACACCGAAGGCAGTGGTTGTGGCGTGCCGGCGCATTTCGAGCCATCGCTCGGCTGGCAGGAGTTCTCCACCAGCCGAGACGCGCCCCTCGAACCGGAGGACGGTACGACCGTCCCGGTGCGGGTCTTCCCGTCACAAGCATCGAGCCGACGACACTGGCCATGCTGCTCGACACGATCACCGGCCACCCAGCCCTGAGGCCGGCCACCGTGGACGACGTGCTCGCACAGGAGCCGCCGGTCGGCTCAGTCGCGATCGCAGTCGCGGGTCGACGCTCTGACCCGGGGGACTATGGCCTCTACCTCGCCCGGCTAGTCCAAGTGGAGCAGCGACTAGAGGCCTACGAGTCGTTCCTCGGGAACGATCCCGCCCTGGCCGCCCCGCTGCGAACCCTGCTCGCAGTCAGCGCTAGCCGACACCTGACGACCGGCGAGCGCAGGGAGTTCCTCAACGCCGTCGATCAGCAGGCGACACAAGGAACGACGGGGGTGGAGTTCATGGGACGGGCCCGATCACCTTCACCGAGCGCAATGCCGACTTGCCAGTGACGCTGGTGAACAACCGGGACGCGCCGGCGACCGTAGTCCTAGAGCTGAGCTCCGACAGGATCAGCCTCACGCACGAAGAGCGTCCCGTCTTCACGCTGGAACCGGGACGCAACGACCTGATCGTGCCGGTCGAGGCGGCTGCGTCGGGCCGCACCTCGGTCCGAGTGACCGTGACGACGCCAGACCCCGCCGGCGCCATAACCATCACTACCGGGACCTTCAGCGTGCGATTTACCGACGCGGAGGGTCTCGGCCTTCTGATCCTCGTCTGGGCTGCAGCCGCGCTGGGAGCGTGGTGGCTGCAGACGCTGCGCCGACGTTCTCGCGATGCCGACAGCGCCAGTGGTACGGTCGCTGCACCCGGCTCCGGCCGCGGCAACGCCGCGGACTGAAGCGAGGCGGGAACCACCCGTTCGACAGGCGACCATACGAGGACATGACATGACCGTGGGCATTGTCACCGACAGCTCATGCGATCTGAACGACGAGCACCTCCAAGGGCTCGACGTGGAGATCGTCCCCCTGTTCATCCGCTTCGGAACCGACGAGTTCGTCGACCGCGAGCAGATCAGCGTCGAGGAGTTCTACCGGCGCATGGCGACGGTCGACGCGCTGCCCCAGACCGCGGCCCCGCCGCCCGGGCGCTTCGAGCAGGCCTTCCGCCGTTTCCTGGACGCCGGTTGCGAAGCGGTGGTGTGCATCAACCTGTCATCGGCCCTCTCGGCGACCATGCAGTCAGCGGTGCAGGCCGCCGACTGGTCCGCGCCGAACATGACGATGCCGACGTCAGGGTCCTGGACAGCAAATCGGTGACCGCCGGCCTCGGCACGCTGGTGCTGCAGGCAGCCCGGATGGCGGCCGCCGGCGACGACGCCGACACCATCGAGGCCTTCGTGGCCGATGCCTCCGAACGCACCCACGTGTTCGGCACGCTCGACACGCTGGAGAACCTCCGCAAGGGCGGGCGCATCGGCGGCGCGCAGGCCATGCTCGGCTCGATGCTGTCGATCAAACCCATAGTCGACATCTCCACCGGGGAAGTGACCGAAGCCGCCAAGCAGCGCACTCGCCGGAAGGCTCTCGGCTGGTTGCGCGACACCGTGCGAGCCGCCGCGCCGGTGGAGCACCTCGCGGTCATGCACGGCGAGGCGGCTGACGTCGGCAACTTCTGCGAGATGCTGGCCGAAGTCCATAGCGGCACCATCCGGGTGTGCAAGGTCGGACCGGTCGTGGGCGCCCACGCCGGCCAGGGAGTGCTGGGCATGGCCTACCAAGTCCCGGCCACCTGACCGCTGCATTGGGCCCGGCCGCGGCGAGCCACCCACACCGCAAGCCACAGGGATTCGAAGATTCGCAACGACCTCGACGACGCCAGGCTCACGAAGGCTGCACAGGCCGGAGACCGGCGTGCCCTCGAGCAGTTGCTGCGGCGCCACCACGATCAGATCCACGCCGTTTGCCGGCGCCTCGCGGGCAACGACGCTGACGGCCAAGACGCCACCCAGGAAGCGCTCATCGCCATCGTTCGGGGACTCCCCCGCTTCCACGGCAAGGCCAAGTTCTCGACCTGGGCCTATCGGGTCGCCACCAACGCGGCCCTTGACGAACTGCGACGACGCAGCCGGCGACCACAGCCCACCCTGATCGAGGCCGGCGACCGCTTCGCGGGCACACCGACCGCCGATGACACGGCCGCGGTGGCGGCGCGCCTCGACCTCGATGCCGCGCTGGCCCAGCTGCCCGAGGAGTTCCGAGCGCCGGTGGTGCTCAGGGACGTGGCCGGCTGCGATTACGCCGAGATCGGCCAGATCCTGCGAATCCCGCCCGGGACTGTCAGATCCCGCATCGCCAGGGGCAGGGCCCGGCTGGCGGAGGCAATGAGTGCCAACGGCGGGAACCACCATGACGACGCGGAACGTCGTAACCCTGAAGCGACCAGCCGGAGCGGGAGCGACAGCGTGGAACACAGGGATCCTGAGGCGAATAGCCGAGACCCGGGACGACAGCGTGGAACGCAGAACGCAGAACCACGAAGCGAGCAGCCATGAGTGACGAATCGTTGCGGCGAGACGAGCTCGTTTCGGCTTGTCTCGACGGCGAGGCAACCCCAGCCGAGATTGCCGAGATCGAGGGGGACGACGCCCTGCTGGCCCGGGTCGAGGAGCTGCGGGCCGTGCGCGACGCGGTAGCCGCGCCGGTGCCGTCGCTGTCTGCGGAACAGCGCGACCAGCTGATCAACGCAGCCCTCGGTGTAGCCGATGCGGAAGCCGACGCCCGCCTGGAGGCCAAGATCGTGCCCCGGCACCGCCCCCAGCCCCTGTTTCTGGCGGTGGCTGCGGCCGTCCTCCTGCTCGCGGCCGTCGTCAGCGCTGGCCTGCTCGGCAGCAGGGGCAGCGACGACGCCGAGACGGCCGCGGACTCGACTTCAATGGCTGGCTCTGCCGCCCCTGCCGATATGGCCTCCGAGCCCATGACCGACGAGCCCATGGCCGAAGCAGACATGGCGGCCGCGGACGAGGCGATGGAGCCCGAGGAGGCGATGGCTGACGAAGGACCCACGGCCGAGGAGCCCATGGCCGAGGACGCTATGGAAGCAGCGGCTATGGCCGAGGCGGAAGCGGAGGCAATAGAGGCGCCCGCAGCCACCACGACCGTCGCCGCCACAGGAGCGGGCGACAGCGAGGATCAAGCGGCCATCGAGCCGGCTTCGGGAACTGCGGAGACCGAGGAGGAGCGGCGCGCCGAGTCGACCACGGACGGGGGCGAACTCGATACCGACGGTGCTGACGGGCAGGTCGTGGACTTGGGCATGCTGGAGAATCTTGAGTTGCTCTATGAGAACGTCGGGGCGAAATGGTCTGCCGCCCTGGAGGATGCGGCGATGGCTGCCCCCGGGGTGTGCTCCGCGGCAGTGGACGAACGGGCGCTCGAGATGAGCGCCGAAACGCGCCAATCCTTCGTCGCCACCGTCGGAGCCGAAGATCCCCTCACCTTCGATGCCCAATTCGTTCGCCGACCTGACGGCAGCGCTGTCGTCATCTACGCGGCGCCGCCCGACTGCGAGATCGAAATCCACGAACAGGCCGGTTCCTGAGCACCACCAGAGCCACGGCTTCGCTCAATGCACTGCGAACTCGCCGTGATCTCGGACCATCCGCTCGGCCTCCAAGTCGCCCGTCTGGCCGCCGGTAGGCTGCACCCCCATGCCCGATGCCGAGCCCTCAAGCCGCGACCGGCCGGCGCTGAGCCTGGGATCCGACGACTGGCCGGCAACCGTTGCCGACAAGATCGTCGAGATCGTGGATGCCGTCCGCGTTCAGACCACCGATCGGGCCGTGTTCCTACTGCGTGCCGTGGTGTACTGCCTGGTCGCGGCGGTGGCCGCCATCGCCGTCATCGTTCTGCTCACGATCGCCGCCATTCGCGTGGCCGACGCCTACCTGCCCATAGGGGGCGGGGTCGGTTCGGCGACGTGGCCGCCCACGGCTTCATCGGGTTGCTTGTGTCGATCATCGGACTGGGAGCCTGGCGGGCTCGGAGCGGATCAGCGAAGCCGGTGTACGCGGCGTTGATCCTGGACGTGGCCATCGTGATTGGCGTCGTGTTCTACGGTGTGATCGCCGCGGTCGCTTGAGAGCGGCGTCGCGCCGACCGGTGAACGCACAAGGAAGGAACACCCACTGAGATGAGCGTTGATGGCCACGCTGACCGGCCGGTGGAAGTAGCGATCATCGGGTCCGGCCCGGCTGGACTCACCGCTGCGATCTACGCTGCCCGGGCCAACCTCTCGCCCGTAGTTCTGGAGGGGGAGCTGAGTTCGACCAGCAATCAGCCGGGCGGCCAACTCATGCTCACCACCGACGTCGAGAACTACCCCGGCTTCCCCGAGGGCGTCATGGGACCCGAGTTGATGCAGCGATTCCGAGACCAGGCCGTCCGATTCGGGGCTCAGGTCCACACGGCGAAGGCCTCTCGGGTGGATTTCTCAACGCAGCCCTACGGCATCTGGATAGGCGGCCCCGATGCGTCCGAGCCGACGCTGCGAGCCTGGAGCGTGATCGTGTCCACCGGCGCCCAGTCGCTCATGCTGGGACTTGATCGGGAGATCGAGATGGTGGGGCACGGCCTTTCCACCTGCGCAACCTGCGATGGATTCTTCTTCCGCGACCAGCACATCGCAGTGATCGGAGGAGGCGATTCTGCAATGGAAGAGTCCACCTTCCTCACCCGGTTCGCTTCGAAGGTGACCGTCATCCATCGCCGCGACGCCCTGAGAGCATCGAAGATCATGGAGCAGCGGGCCTTCGACAACGAGCGGATCGAGTTCATGTGGAACACCGTCGTAGAGGAGTACCTGGGCGAGTCGGCGCTCACCGGCCTGCGCATCCGCAACGTCGATACCGGCGAGACATCAACCCTGGGCGTTACCGGGTGCTTCATCGCCATTGGCCATCGCCCGAATACCGACCTCTTTGCAGGGCAGCTGGAGATGAAGGAGAACGGCTATCTCGTCACTCAGCCCGACTCGACGAAGACCGCGGTGGAGGGCGTTTTCGCCTGCGGGGACGTGCAGGACGACTACTACCGCCAGGCCGTAACCGCGGCGGGCTCGGGCTGCATGGCCGCCATCGAGGCCGAGCGGTACCTCGAGAGCCGGCACCCGCGCTGAGGGTCCCCAGACAACGCGCTTCCCAGTAAGGTGACCGACGCAAGGGCCGCATCAAGACGCGTGCTGCCTCATCATTGAACGACATAAAGGATAATAGTATGGCAGATTCGACCATTACTCTCAGTGAAACAACCTTCGACGAAGAGATCAACAGCGCATCTACACCGGTCCTCGTGGATTTTTGGGCCGAATGGTGCGGGCCTTGCAAGATGATGCGCCCATCCTGGACGAGATCGCGTCCGAGCAGGAGGGCAGGCTGACGGTGGCCAAGCTCAACGTGGACGATGCACCGGACATCGCCCGGCGGTTCGGTGTCATGAGCATCCCCACGTTGATTCTCTTCAATGATGGCGAACCAGCCAAACGGGTAGTGGGAGCCAAGCCGAAGGCGGCTCTGCTGGGCGAGCTTGCCGAGTACCTCTGACCGCGGCGTGCTCACCTCCCCCTGGGCCGGGGGGTTGCCGCTGCGACGCGGTGATGCAGGAGAGGCCGTTCGCGATCTTCAGCGCAGGCTGGCGCTGATCGGCTACAGCACCGGCGGAGACCACCAGAATTCGGCACCGCCACCGAAGCGGCTCTGCGCCAGTTCCAAAGCGACCGCGGCCTAGTGGTCGACGGAATCTGCGGTCCTCAGTCCTGGAATGCCCTCGTGGAGGCCGACCATCGACTGGGCGACCGGCTTCTCTACTATCGGGCCCCGATGATGCGCGGCGATGATGTGGCGGAACTGCAGCGTCGTCTCGGCCAGCTCGGTTTCGACGCACACTGGATTGACGGGATATTGGGGCCGAGGACGCAGGCCGCGATCCGGCAGTTCCAACAGAACGTCGGCCTTCCCGACGACGGCGTGGTTGGGCGGTCCACGGTCGAGGCCCTCGACAGGCTCACCAGACGCGCCGCGACTGAAGTCACCATCTCCGAGGTGCGCGAGCACGAACGCCTTCGACGCCAGCCGAGCAAGGTGGAGGGAAGACGCATAGTGGTCGGCGACACGGGCGAACTGCCCGTGATCGCCCAGGCAGTCGCCCGGCGCCTGCGTCAAGCCGGGGCTGAGGTGCTGTCGTTCAGCACACCGAACCTGAGCCACCAGGCCCAAACCTCGAATCAGTGGAACGGCGACATATATCTTGGCGTGACCCTGGCGGTCGCCAATTTCGCCGTCTCGTACTTCGCCACGAGAGGGTTCGAGTCGGTGGGAGGTCGGGCTCTGGCACAACGCTGCTCAGCAGCGCTCGCTCCGCTGCTCGCCGAACCCATCCCAGCCACAGCGATGCGGTTGCCCATTCTTCGAGAAACCCGGATGCCGGCCGTGTGGTGTCGCCTCGGTCCCGGTTCGATCGTGGTCCCTCAGACGCCCGGCATCGCGCAGGCTCTAGCCGAAGCAGTCACCGACTGGTGTCTCCATCCTGGACTACAATAAAATAGATTGTAAACAATCACTCGATTGTCACATGATCAAGTGATAGATGCGCTCCAAGTCGGACAGCCCGCTGAACTGGATCGTGATCCTGCCCCTGCTCTTGCCCAGCTTGACGGACACCCGAGTGTCGAGTCTCGTCGACAGGAGGTCCTCCAACTCAAGGACGCCAGCTTGAATCTCATCGGAGCCAGGCTCTCCGTTGTCGCCGGACTGCGCTGCGACGATTTCCTGTGAGGCCGCGTGGTTCTCAGCGACCCGCCGCTCGGCCTCCCGCACCGTCAGGTTCTCGCGGACAATCTCCTCTGCCAGAGCTTGACGAGCCTCGTCGTCCTCAAGAGCAAGCAAGGCTCGGCCGTGGCCTGCTGAGAGATGGCCCTCCACCACGAGTCGCTGCACCGAGGGAGCCAAGTTCAACAGGCGCACGGTGTTCGCGACCGCGGAGCGGGAGCGGCCAACCCGAGCCGCGACATCCTCCTGGGTGAGGCCAAAATCGTCCATCAGTTGCCGGTAGGCAGCAGCCTCTTCGAGGGCGTTGAGATCCTGGCGGTGGACGTTCTCGACGACCGCGGCCTCAAGCGCTCCCTTGTCGTCGGCAGAGCGCACAAGCGCGGGGATGCTCCTGAGACCGGCCCGTTGAGCAGCACGCCAACGCCGCTCACCAGCTATAATCTCATACCCTTCTGTGGCTTGACGGACAATTATAGGTTGTATAATTCCCACCTCAGCAATAGACGCTGCCAATGCCGTCAGGGTCTCCTCGTCGAATCGGCCCCTCGGTTGGTAGGGGTTGGGCACGATGTGAACTATGTCTATGTCTTGGAAGGCCGACTCGGTCGTTTCCGACTCGGTCGGGATCAGAGCCCCAAGACCCTTCCCAAGGCCACTACGGCGTGCCACGAAGCACCTCCTTTGCCAGGGCGCGATAGGCCGTTGCGCCCTTGGATAGAGAATCGTAGAGAGTGATCGGTTGGCCGAATGACGGCGCCTCGCTAAGGCGAACCGTGCGCGGCACTACTTGCCAGCAGACCTTGTCGCCGTAGTGAGCTCTTACTTCTCGAGCTACATCCCGCGACAGGTTCGTTCGTGCGTCGTACATCGTGAGGATTACCTTCGTCAGCTCCAACCCCGGATTGAGGCTCCGTTGTACCATCCCGATGTTCCGAACGAGTTGAGTCAGCCCTTCGAGGGCGAAGTACTCCGCCTGGATGGGCACCATCACTTCGTCGGCCGCCGTCAGCCCATTTATGGTCAGCAAACCGAGCGACGGCGGGCAGTCGATCATGATGATGTCGTAATCCGCGACTGCTCCGGAGATCGCCTCTCTGAGCTTGCTTTCTCTGCTGAAAGCGGACACCAGCTCGATCTCTGCGCCCGCGAGGTCCAGACTAGAGGGCGCAATATGCAGACCCTTGATCATCGTGGGCTCCACGATCTCGTCGAGTTCGATATCTCGAAGGAGAACTTGGTAAATGGAGGCATCCAAGCCTCGAGGGTCGAGTCCTACGCTGGTTGTGGCGTTCGCCTGAGGATCGAGGTCGATTACAAGCGTCTTCAAACTTCGCTCGGCGAAGCAGGCAGAGAGATTGACCGTCGTGGTTGTCTTGCCCACACCACCCTTTTGGTTGGCCACTGCGAAGACACGGGCGCGAGCGTCATCCCGCTGCTGTGCGATTCCCACGACAAGGGCTCCCTTCGCTTACAGACCCCCAACGGTGACATACCGTTGGTCGAGAATCAAGGATCCACGTTTCACGTGAAACAGAGGGGTGCTCTCAAACGTCTTGGCCGAGCGGAGACCTACGCCGGGCAGCACGCCGACGGGGGAGCCCAGGCGGGGCTGGGCCGACTCTCGTGATTGAGACGAAGCTGCCGTACTGCGTCGACCACTGCCCGGACAACTCACAATCAACTCGTGCCAGCGGCATCCTCTCCCACTGGCGCTTCGTGGCCGCCGACACCGACACGACGAGCGATCCGCCAATCCTCAGCAGCGGCAGGCCGCACTCGGCCAACTCGGATGCCGGACCGAAACAGCCGGGCCACCACTCCATCGAGGGTCTCACGAGCCTCGCGGGGGCTGGCGAGGTCCTCAACAAGCGCATGCTTACCATAATCCGTCCGGACAGTCTCGCGGCCACAACGGCCCGCTCCGCCATATCACAGCGTCGCTCGCTGGCATCCACCAGCGTCCAGCGCGACATCGGCAACTCCAACGCCAGCAGTATCCCGACAACGCCAGCGCCAGCGCCACAATCCACAAACTCACCGACCGGCAGTTTTCGCCAATCATCCAGGATGAACCCGGACGCATGGCGACGGAGCGCTTCGAGCGGCAAGTGTCCCATGACACCGGCGGCCCGCGCCGGTGCCCACGCCTCCTCCAAGCGCCTCAGCAGTTGAGGCTCGACTACGGCGAGTGCGCGCGGGCAGGGCAACACGCGCTCAGTCGGGCTGTACTCCGATGATCACGCGTCTATAGGGATCCTCGCCCTCACTGCGACTCTCTACCTGCTCAATGTCAGTGATGGCATCGTGAACGATCTTCCGATCAACCCGATTCATCGGCTCGAGGGCGATCTCCTCACCCGATTCGAGGGCCTCTTGGGCCACCTTTCGAGTGAAATCAGCCAGAGCAGCCGCCGACGGGCACGGACCCCACCCACGTCCATACGGATCTTGCCTTCTCGCGTGGTGCCGCCTGATCTCTGCAGCACAGTACGAACCAGTTCATCAAGGGCTTGGGCCGTAGCGCCACGCCGGCCAACAAGAAGTCCTATGCCTTCTCCATCAGCTTCGATCCTCATGATGCCGTCCTCCACGTCGTGCCTCGTGAACGCGACAGGAACGCCCAGAGTGTCTGCAACCCCCCTGACGAAGGACTCCGCCAGGTCGGCCTGCTCAAGGAGCGAAGGCCCTGTGTCGTGATCCATCATTGGCTCCCCATTCTCCTTGTCGTTGCTGCTCGTCGGCGCCCGATACTACCGCTGTCACGAGGACCGTTGTCGGCGCGAGGCCGCCGTCGGTCGACGGATCCGTGGGGGCCCGACGATTCGCGCGAGCACTGGATTGCGGTTGCGCTGATGCAGAGCCGGCAGGCCGCGCTGCTCGGATCGCCTCCCGATCCAGATCACCAGGCTAGCGGCTGTGTGGCAGCGCATGGCTGTCCTGGAGTCGTATCAGGGCAGCGTGGGATCACGCGGGCCCTCAACGCGTGCTCTTTTGTCATGATTCTGCCGAAGCACAGACGACACGCTCCTCCGACGAGGACTTCGAACTCCGATTCAGAATCATGTTTTCTAATGTTTTGTTTTCTTACGCCAATGATGGTCAGAGCGCTGCTCTTTGGCGCGCTCTCCACGTTGCTGCGTGAGTTTCAAGCACATTCCATACTGATTCGGATGACCCTTCGTGCGCGAGCTAGCGTCAGCGCTCTCTGTCTTCTTGGTCCTGCTGCGGTGATCTGGCGGTCCGCTGGACCCGAGCGGCGGCGTCAGTAGTGCGGCCGACCCCGGTCCGATGATTGGTGAACGACCTCGCGCCGAGGGAGCCTGCAGTCGTCCACCCTTAGTCCGCTGTAGAGATGAAGCCCTGAGGGGCAGGACGGTCGGCCCTCGGAGGCGTCCCGCTTGCGGCAGGGACGGTCGCCTCGGAGCTTTGCAGGACGGTCGGCCGAGTCGTCCCCTCGGCACCCCGTCCCCTTGTGCGTCCTCGGCGGCAGGAGCCCTACCCCGCGTAGTCGCCCCGTCCCGCTTGCGGGCAGGAGCCCCGTCCCTCTTGTTGCACCCCCGTCCCTCCGTTGCGGGCAGGAGCCCTACCCCGCGTAGTCGCCCCGTCCCGCTCCGGCGTCGGCGCTCCCTTCCGTTCCGTGACCGACTTGGGCGAAGGCTCCTCGGCTTCAGCCTCGGTCGAGCCCTCGCCTGCAGTCGCAGTTCGCTGTTTGGCGACCCGCGCTCCGAGAGAGTCATCGCCCCGGTAGAAGGACCGGGTGATGTAGGCCTGCTGTGCGATGCGGACCAAGTTCGAGATGATGAAGTAAGTCACAACCGCGGCCGGCATCGCATAGGAGAACACCGGCAGCATGTAGGGGATCAGCTTCATCATCATCTGCTGCTGCGGAGGCATGGCTGCTGCGCTCTGCCGGCCCTGGATTTGCCGCTGCTGCAAGAGGCTCGTAACCAGCACGACAAGGATCATCAGCAGGTAGGGGAGCGCCAAGATGATGCTTTCGATATGGCAGAGCTAGCGCTCCGAGACAGGTCCACACCCCATGAGACCATCTCGACGTTGTCGCTCAAGCGAACATAGAGATCGGTGTCCCTGGACAAGAAGTCAGGATCGAACGTCAGTCTCGGCTCTAAGAATGGAGGTCTCGGCGTACTCGGGCACCGCCCCGAACGCCGTCGGCATAGCGGCGAGCCGTGAAACCGAGTTGGGTTCCCACCTCGGTCGTCCGTCTGGTAAGTCCATGCACAACCCGGTACATGACGAGGAAAATCGGCATTTGCACCAGCATCGGAAGCAAACACCCGACCGGATTGACACTATGTTCCTTGTAGAAGGCAGCGGTGGCCGCGTTCATGGCCTGCCGATCGCCCTTGTATTGGCTCTGGAGCTTCTTCAACTCCGGCATGTACTGCTGCATCTGCAACGTCGAGCGCGTGGACTTCAGAGTCAGCGGCGTCACCGCGACTGTGGTGGTCAGGGTCAAGAAGGCGACCGCCATCCCGTAGGACGGCCATAGCGAGTAGAACCAGGCGAGCACTGCAGTGACGAGGTCGAACAGAGGATCAAGCATCGATCACCCTCGCAGGTTCTCCGCGGTGCCTGGGCGCGGGCACCGGATCCCACCCCATCGAACCCCACGGATGGCACCGGGCTAGGCGGCGAGCCGTCAACCAGACTCCGCGCCGCGTTCCGTGCGCTCGCAACGCCTCCAGTGCATAGGCCGAACACGACGGAACGTAAGCGGCACACTGGCGGACGGCCGGTCCGAGCGAGCTGGCAGGCTCGTACGCCAAGGTAGGCCAGCGAGTCGAGAACCTCATTGGCTCCGGAGGTCCTTCAACAGCTCGCTCATCGTTGCCCGCAACTCGGCCGCGGAGAGGTACTCAAGCGGCGCCGAGACGCCCAGAACGTACTCCCCGTCGGCCAGCACCACCGCTCCGTCGCGGGCGAGCTCCCGGAGCGTCTCCCGGACGCGACGGCGGACTCGGTTGCGTACGACAGCGGTTCCCACGGACTTGGCACCGCCAGACGGACGCGTGCCGCTCCAGAAGCGGCGTGAAACGACACCCTCAGGGGGCCGCGGCGGACGTTCACTGCGACCGGAGGCGGGTATTGCGCGCTCCCCGGCCTATCGACGAGCCCCTCACGCTGCCAGTCGGCTCCGCCCCTTGCGACGGCGGGCCGCGCAGCACAGCGCGCCCTCCGCGCGTCCTCATTCTGGCCCGAAACCATGTTTCTTATGCCTTTTTCTGATGTTAGGCTGAAAAGGGCGCTTCATTAGATCCTCCTCGGCATCCCCTAGCTCGGGTACGCCACAAGAGCCACCGCCGCTGTTGACGCTGTGGATGAACGGCGGGACTGTGTCCACCGTAGGGCTGCCCCCGTGTTGCGACAACCACACCCCTAGGGCAGGAGACCGGCACCTCTCGACGGCCCGACCTGCTCGGACCAGAGTAAAGAACAATTGAGTAACATATCTTACAACATTGTTATTCACTTGACCTCCATCCATTCTGACAATGTTTCGTTTGCCCGCTCTCAGCCAACTGACTTGCAGCCAATCGGGATGCTGCTACGTTCCGCTTGCCAGTCACATCAGAACTGGATCTTGGGTCCGGGCCACCTCCACCACCGGCCCGGGAACTGTCTTGTCCACATCTGTGGATGAACTGTGGAGAAGGGAGATCGATAGGTGAACACCGATCCCGAAGCGGAGCGGATCTGGACCAGTTGTGCCCAGAGCATCCGGAGCCAGGTAAGCGACGCGGTTTGGAGGACCACCTTCAGTGGCGCCAGAGCGACCGCCTTCGATCAGCGATCTCTGACCCTGGTAGTGCCGACCAGCCTGCAGAAGGCCCGCATCGAGCGCCGCTACTTCGACCTGCTCACTGACGCCATCGATGAAACCGAGCCTGATGTCACCGTCCGCATCGAGATCGATCCGGACTGGACGGACACCGGTGAACGAGCGTCCGCGGATGTGGCGGGCGAGGCGGTCCAGACAGAGCGCGGCCCCCAGGCCGCCAGCTCGAACACCGACTCGGGTCCCTACACCCGGCTGACCTTCGAGCAGTTCGTTACCGGAACCTCCAACCGCTTCTCGCACGCCGCGGCGCTTGCCGTGGCCGAGACCCCGGCCGGGGCCTACAACCCGCTGTTCATCCACGGCGACTCGGGACTCGGCAAGACCCACCTGCTACGGGCCATTTGCCACTACGTCAACCACCACTACCCGTCCTACAAGGTCCGCTACGTCACCAGCGAGACCTTCCTCAACGAGTTCGTGCAGGCAATCCGCAACAGCACGCAGCCTGAGTTCAAGCAGGTCTACCGCAGCAACGACGTTCTGCTGGTGGACGACATCCAGTTCATGGAGGGCAAGGACGGCCTTCAGGAGGAGTTCTTCCACACCTTCAACGACCTGCTGCAGAACGGCGCCCAGATCGTCCTCTCCTCGGACCGCGGCCCCGATGCCATGCCCACGCTGGAGGACCGGCTCCGGAGCCGCTTCAAGTCCGGCCTCATCACCGACATCCAGCCGCCGGACCTTGTGACTCGTCTCGCCATCCTGGAGAAGAAGGCTGAGTTCTCAGCCATCGAGATCCCCGGCGACGTGCTCTCGTTCATCGCGGAGAACGTCACCGACTCCATCCGGGAACTCGAGGGCGCGCTCATCAGAGTCACCGCGTATGCCAGCATCACCGGCCAGCGCTGCTCCTACGACTTGGCCAAACGCGTGCTGGCCGACCTGATCGACAACACCACTCAAAGGCGCCGTCACCGTGAAATCGATTCTCAAGGCCACGTCGGAGAGTGTTCGACTTCACGCTGGATCAGATCACAAGCGGCAGCAGGCGTCGGCCGCTAGTCGACGCCCGCCAGATCGCCATGTACGTCACACGCAACATGACCGACCTCTCATATCCCTGAAATCGGCCGAGCCTTCGACCGCGAC